GAGACCTAAACTGGGGTTTTCTAGATAGACTGGAAGGTGCAGGGTTATTTGGCCGCGAAGTGGGGGCTGAAGAACGGAGCTCATATCAATATTACATCCATTTCCAGTGATAGCCGGGGTAGGGTTCTTACATTGAGCAGGACTGTCGTCAAATGGACCCCTAAACTTGGATGGAGGTGACTGCGGCCGAAGCTCGGCAGGACTGTCGAGAGTCCTCGTGGGGAAAGGCCGGTTGATCCTTCGAGGGAGAGAACCTGGATCCATCTCCTGTGAGCATGTGAGATTACTGGCAAAAGTGGTCTTTTTTCTCCTGATTGAGCCGGAGCGTGACCTGTCAGACTGCTGGTACAGACTGTCTCCCGAATAGGATGCGGTAACGCCCCTCCTGGAAGGCGAGTCAGGCAGCTGTTCGTCCGACGGCGGCCGCGGCTTCTTTAGGATGGATGGTGGAAGGGTTGTTTTTATACTACTGCCGGATGAAGTGAGTCTGGAGCTGTTACTCCTGCTTGGCCCCTGAAAGGATGGTGACTTAGGCAGTGAGTTGTCAACGTAAAACCCGTGAGGAATGGCCCTCGGCTTAAGGCCAGCAAGCTAGATTCGGCAAGTTAGTCTCTGCCGGTGTTGTCTGGAGTGATTGGAAGAGCGCTGTTCTCGGTTGTTTACCTCTCTTTCCTTCCTGAGCCACTCTTCGGTGGTGTACTCCCCTTCCGAGATCTGGATAAAGAGAGAGGCCAGCGTGTAGCCACGGATGGTGCAGCTTATCCGTCCGTTACTCCATATCCTCCAAAAGAGGTTCTCCAACCGTCGGCCTGCATCCTTCTCCAGGGTGGTCTTATTCGTCGTATAGACTAAAGACCGGGGTCAACAGTGACAAAAATCAAAAAGCGAGAAGCTGGTTGCTCAGATGAACAAAGAAGAAATGAACAAAGGAAGAGCCTCACCTCTCCACAGCCTGGCCACATCCTCAACCTCGACATGCGAGTCATGGTTAAGCTCCGAGCGGATGCTGTGGGTGTTGAAGACGATGCCGTGGGGAAGAGCTTCCGTCATGGTCCAGCTGCCCACGAGACAACGTAGATTTGTGAGGTACAGCTCGACAACACCACCAGCATAAGGATATCACTCGCTACGGTCAAGCAAGGTACAGCCAAGTGCAGGAAGAGAAACAGGACGGCCACCGGTGGTATATATGTCAATATCTTGGCCTTCACTTGTTCTTCCTTTGTACTTTGAAAGCTGGCTGCCTGGTATAGTATGCGGTGTGCAGGGTTAAGCTCAACGGGCGCGCATGATCAACATGGCGCGGGTTGACGGCAGCCAACGGAGCGCGAATGGGTATTTAGCCTCTCGGTTCGCTGCTCCAGGGGATGGAGGATGGGCTAATGCAAGGAAGCTGGCGTATGAGCAGAGGAAAAGAAGCTGAGGTGAGGCGGGCGGGAGGTTGCGAGAGGTAAGACGTGGAGGACGTGGAGGACGTGGAGGAGAGCGGGCGATAAGTTATAGAAAAGAGGCGCGGATGGGGCAGGTCGGCTGCTGCAGCACGTGAAGTGTCCGGATGACCTGCGGGTCCGCGATAAGTCAAGTTGGAGAAATATGAAGCTGGAGGTGGTGGTTTGTATGGTGGCGCTGGCGATGCTGGAGATATTAAAGGCAGACGAGAGAATCTCAAGGTGTAGTTGAAGAGGTGACGTTGGAATGTCCCGATTGGGATGGGCTCGACAGCTTCTTTTGACGACAGTCGCTGACTTGGTTATATCAACCTCAAACCTCACAGCAACAACAACAACGACAGCGACTATGACAACCACGACGCAGAAGAGGCTCTATACAGCTACGGGAGGATACAGACGAGATATTTCATTAAGATGAAGCAGAACTAGAAGACAGGTCGACTGGGATAACAGCCACGGTCATGTGCCGTGCAGAAAAAGCTGGGCCTCTACTTTGATGAGCTAGCTAGAGTCTCGACATCCTCTCGATATCCAGCGTTGATGTGATGGGAGAATCCATGCAATCAATGCAGGACGAGGTCAGGAAGGCCGAGCAGATCCAGGATAAGCCTGGGCAGACAGCTGCACGACGAGAGAGAGACGCAGACAGGGGCAGACAGCCGAAAAGAGACTCTCCAGCCTCCAGGTTTCAGCCTGAAGCGAGTTTGTGATCTCGACTCTGCTTCCGAGTCGTCCATCAGCTGCAGATGTTTTCTTTTTCGCCTCTCCTCTTCCAGCTATAGCTGGACTGGACACCATCTCGAAGACTTGCAACCGTGGTATCTCGCCTGTTCAATGCATGTACGATGTACAGCGGACTGCAGATTCGCTCCTCGTATCAGCGGCTTTATCTCCATTATGATTCTAGTGTCTGCTTGACGAGGCTGGAATCCCATGTACGGGATGCATACAGACATGGTACCATACGTCTCTATGCATACACAAAATATTGAGCGAGCAGGGATATCGGCTAATGGCTTATACGGTGGCATTGTTGACTCATTTATTATTAAAAAGTAAGCAAAGCAGATCTAACTAACGGAAAACTAGCCAGCCAACCGGGGAATAGGGAACAGACGGAGGAAGCAAGGAGCTCCTCCACCTTTTTTTAGGTGACGGTGTATCCGCCGTCAACACGCAGGTCCGCGCCGGTGACGTACTTGCTAGCGTCACTCGTAAGGAAGACGACGGCACCCATAAGATCCTCCGGCACACCCATCTTGCCCTGGGGAATCAGCGAGGTCCATTTCTGGTTCAGGTCTGGGTTGTCATCAAGGATTTTTTGTGTCCTGACCACAACGGCCCCCTCGTTAGTATCATAGATAAGGATGCAATATATACTTCTCGACAAAGAGTAGACTTACAATGCAGTCAGCATGTACCCCGGGCTGATACAGTTAACCCTGATGCCAGCTCCAGCCCATTCGACAGCCAGCGAAGCCGCCAGGTGCCGGATCGCCGCCTTTGCGGCGTTATATGGTGCCTGAGGCTGTGGAACATTAACAATCGAGCCGGACATGCTTCCTATCAGCACCATGCTGCCGGGAGCCTTGCGTTCCATCAGATGCTTGGCTACCTCGACGGCAAACAAGTAGGAGCCGTCAACATTGACTTTCCACAGCTTCTGGATGCGATCGTAAGGGTAGCTGATGGCGTCGAAGTTCTCGGTAAAGCCAGCCGAAGTGACCAGGTGGTCTATCTTGGTGTGTTTCGAGATAATCTCGGCAATGCTGGCATTAACAGACTCGGGATCGCCCACGTCCGCATAGTGAGCTGTGATTTTTGGTAGGCTGTTGTTATCCCGTCAGCTTCGTCATATAGGCTGGGTATCTATGCAATGATTCTACTGACCGGTCAAGGCCCGGGTTTTCCTTCTCAAACTGCTCCAGCAGCTTTTTTGCCTGAAGCTCTGCTTCCTGTTCTATACAACTGTTAGCTAAACCCACACATCAATTGTTTTTCGTTGTTTGTTGACTCAACGTACTGTTCAAGTCGACAATGGCAAGATCGGAGCCAGATGCGACCAATGCTTGGCCCATAACCAGTCCCAATCCGCGCGCACCCCCTGTGATCACGGATACTCGGCCCTCGAGCGAGAATGAGGCCAACGTCCGCTTGAAATGTCGACCTCCCCGGCCTTGCACGATAGGGGTCTGTGGCATCTCATCGTCCGGAGGGTACTCAACTCTCACGCTATCGTCTGTTCGAGCCAAACCGCCCTCTGCATCGATAGCTGCCGCCGGAACCTTCTCGTTATCCTTGTACAAAGCGGTAGAAGAGGATATGTTTCTTCTGTAAGCCGCTTGCTGCACTCCGAATCGTCCTGCAGTAGCGGCAGCCGAAGGTCCTCTGATGATTGATGACGGACCGGAGGCGGCCCGGAACAAGCTACTCCTCGCAGATAGCCTGAACATTGTTTCTCTCTGTGTTTGTGTGCCTTTCCGCTATCTCTTTCTATGACGGATGTAGTCGATGGCCGAATCACCACTGCTGGGATCGATATTTATGGCCTGCGTGCAGACGTCATGCAAATTAGTAACTCAGCGGAGCTGCGCAGCTTGCATCGAGCCAAAACCGGTCGCTTACCTTGTCCTGTAACAGTTCACCACCCAGGTGGCCAATGGACAGTCAGCTTCAAACAACGACCTTGGTTGTGTTCACCAAGATGGCCGCAGCAAAAGTTGGACTGGGAAGAGAGATAGTAGGAGTATTAGGAGTATGTGCAGGAGGGAAAAGAGGACGTAGATGATCAGGTAATAAAATCTCTTCCCAGGCGAGCCCGAGGAGGACAAGAAATATGGGACCTCTCTTCCATTGCTGATCCACTGAAAGGTCACTTGAGCACCTGCTACTAGGCTAAGAAGCCGCAGGATGGCAGCGGGCGGAAAGGGGTGATAAGCGATGAAAGGGAGGCAGAGCTTCGGGCGCGCCTTTTTCTAGCTGGCATCTTACGCAAGGCTTTTAACTGGAGCTTTAACTGACCTTAACTAGCTTTAACTAGCTTTTTAACTGGCTTTAGCTGGGGTTTAACTGGAGCTCGGCCAGGGGCTTCCCTTGGTCGGTGGAGTCGCCAGCGGTGGCGGTCAGGCTTCCAGAAGGGCGATATTCGCTCTCTTTGCTTATTCTCTACTTTCTGGCCATGGAATTTTTTTTAAATGTCTTCTTCTTTTTTTTTTTTTATTACATTGATTGCTGGATTTCTATCGGTCTAGATCTGGTGGTTGGTGATGGTATTTTGAGGTTTATATATACAGTACGGAGTAAGGAGAAAGCTCTTCTCTCTCTTCTCGAATCGCCGCCAAAAAGAGAGAAACAAACGAATAAAAAGGACTCGTCATCGTATCATGCATCATGTATAACCCCTTGAAAACAAGAATGCCGTGACGTGAAAATATATCGAATACTTGGATGGGAGGGATATCGGCCTGACCAGGGGAACCGATAAGCTGCGAAGAAAAGCCATCGTGGCCTGAAGGAGTCGTTGGTTTGCTATGTTTCTGTTGTCCCTGGACGATCAATAAGAAGGGGGAGGTGGAGATGCTTTTTTTTTTCGTTTCTTCTTTACATACTCCGTACGGGCGAGAAGATACCGGCCCAAAAAAAGGATGATCGGAGCCCATGGTGGGTAACTTCGTTGCGATATTTGATAATAATTCCAACACTAGGACGAGAGACCAGACACTGGATTTGTCTACTCTTTCTTTCTTTTCTTCTCAATTCATCAGCAAAGATGTCAATCGATCGTTTGACCGTCTTTGATAGCCCTGGCCAAAGGCCGAAAATCGGCCCCCCTTACGAATCAGGGGCTTCCGGCTCGGCAGCAAACTCGACCAGCGCTGTGCCAGCTTTGCAGATATCCTAAAAGGTAGTAAAATTTTTGTCAGCCATCGCCTTCTAGACTCTTGCTTTTGGTCGTTGTAAGGCTTACCCCCTGTTTATGCACAATCTTCTCCACCACACCCTTAATGGGACTCCTGATAACGGTCTCCATCTTCATACTCTCGATCACAACAAGAGGTTGGTCCTTCTCCACTACTGCACCTTCAGCTACTTCCACGCGCAGGATCTTGCATGGCATGGGAGCTAGGACGCTGTTGGTCAGCTCTTTAATACCAAGCGCCTTCTCCATCCACTTGGCTCGGGGAACCTTGAGTCTGTACTGTCGTCCGTGCTGGAAGGCAGTGATAGTATCCTCGTCACGAATTACGGTGGTATCAAGACGAGTATGGGGAAAGAAAGAAGTAAGTGCCTTGCCATCGGCCGAGAGCGTGGCAGTAACGTTGCTGAACGTCTTTTCATTGTTGATGGTCACATCATAGCTCGATGGGCCAGTCTGATAGATCTGAACTGTAGCTGGCTTGGCCTCGGGGGTATTTGGGGCCGTAGCCTCGACAAAGGTGAACTGGCGCTGCTGGTAGCCCGGGCTGAAGCCAATGCCCGCGCCAGTGTTTCCAATTGGGTTGCTGGGGCTAGTTCCCGAGATGAAAGTTGAGAGAGCTACCTGGGCCCAGAGCTCAGGTTCGACTGGTTCCTTAGCGAACAGTTCCTCGCGGTGCTTCTCGATGTAGCCGGTCTCCACTTCGCCGGCAATAAAGTCGGGGCTCTTGCACACACGCTTGAGGAACTCGATGTTGGTGATTGGGCCGGCAACTTCGTACTGTTCAAGGGCCATGGAGAGGTTGCGCAGAGCTTCGGTACGGTCTGCGCCCCGAACGATGAGTTTTGAGATCATGGGGTCGTAGTGTGAAGAAACTTCATCACCGGCAACGAAGCCGGCATCGATACGAACGTCCTCGGTAGGCTGTGGAGTGCGGACGTGGATCAGCTTACCGGAGTCCGGCACGAAGTTCTGTTCGGGATTTTCAGCGTAAATTCGGGCTTCGATGGCATGGCCCATGGTAGCCATTTTGGCCTCGACCTCTTCCTGGGTGAGAGGGAGAGGCTTTCCTTCGGCCACAAGTAGCTGCCAGTGAACAAGATCCTGACCAGTAACCATCTCCGTAACTGGGTGCTCGACCTGTAACCGAGTGTTCATCTCCATGAAGAAGAACTCGCCAGTATCGTTGTCGAAAATGAATTCGACGGTGCCGGCGCCTTCATAACCGACAGCCAAAGCGGCATCTCTCGCCTTGGCCCAGAGATCCTTTCTTGTGGCTTCTGGCAGATGTGGTGCCGGCGACTCCTCGAGGACCTTCTGGTGACGACGCTGGACACTGCAGTCTCTCTCTCCCAGGGCAACGGAGTTCCCGTGCTGGTCCGCGAACACCTGGACTTCGATATGGCGTGGAGTGGTGATGTACTTTTCAATAAGCATGGTATCATCACCAAAGGAGCTCTTTGCCTCGGATTTGGCGGATCTTAGCTGGTCTTGGAACTCGGCAGCGCTGCGGGCAATACGCATACCCTTTCCACCACCGCCCTTGACGGCCTTGATGAGGACGGGATATTTGATCTTCTCGGCCTCAGCGGCGAGGAAGTTGACGTCTTGGTTTGTGCCGTGGTATCCGGGGACACAGGGGACGCCGGCAGCAGTCATGATCTCCTTGGAACGACTATTGTGGTATTAGCATAAACTACAGATTGCTGTTAAGCTGCCGTGAAACGTCACCTCTTGTCTCCCATGGCGTCAATGGCCGAAGGTGGTGGTCCAATGAAGATAAGTCCGGCATCTGTACACTTCTTTGCGAAGCCAGCATTTTCACTCAACTGTGTCTTGTTAGCATCTAGTGTCGCGCTGGTGTTCAACCAAGGCATAGTAACGTACAAATCCATAGCCCGGGTGTATTCCCTTGCATCCCTCGCGTTTGGCAATTTCGATTATTCGGTCTCCATCCAGGTAGGCAGAGGTTTCGCCTAGGTTATAGGCAAAAGGCGAGCTCAAAGCATGCTGAGCATGGGCGTCAGGGTCTGTGTACAGGGTTGTTACGCGGATGCCATGTTGTCCAGCTGTTCTTCCCACTCGGCTGCAGCGACAAATAGTAGTTAGCAAACAAACAGCTTGATAACAGCTATAATTGGCACTGAAGAAACATCTCTTACAGAGCAATCTCTCCTCTATTGGCAATAAGGATCGAATTGAGCGAGGTGGTACCCTTGCCGGTAGCTGTCGAGGAGCTATGGCGGAGGGACGAGGCAGCAAAGAGGGCGCGCTGGGGGATGCGCGAGGCAGAGGCGCGCAAGAGAAACGACATGATGGACGACGTTGAAGCTGGTCGACTAGAGACCCAACACCATGTCCAGTTCAATTCGATGCAGAGAAGAAGATTTCTTGTCTTTCTCTCGATATCAACACATGGAAGAAAAATGAAGCCGCGCGAGTTTCCTAGTTCGGCAATTCAGGGTGGGCGCCGATGGCAAGCGGGCGGTCGGCGTGCTCTTCCGGTAATTACACTGTATTTACTCATCGGACGCGGATACCGAAGTCACGGGATTCTCGGCTTACCTTCTGTTTATGTTTCCACGTGACCTGTTGCCTATTACGTCATACAACAGAAAAAAGCTTGGAACTTTTTTTTTTCTTTGCTTTTTTGATTTCTTTATAGATTTTCAGGCTGAAGAATATCAATGGACCGGCAGGAACATATACGCGCGCGTTAACAGGGAGAAAAGGAGAGGCAATGAGCTACAGATAGCTGGATTGTTTGCCGGAGAAAGGATTATGTTTGACTGCTTGGGAAATTTGACGCCCTTGCCACAACTGTCTAGTGTTTTGTCTGCCAAATAACCATCTTAGCAGCTGCGAGTGTAGCTACCAACTTCAATTGCCCATCACCGTTTGATACCTGGGGCTTGAGGCTGGATGATATACCTATCTTAGACAACAGCCCTATCATTCGAGTGTTTGAAGCAGGTTGTTCAAACTATATAACGGGACTACTGCCTACCTGCCCACCGCACCCCAAGCCGATGCACCACAATGTCGGACTATGACGAATACGACGACTTCGACTATCTCTGGATAGACTGCGGAGAACCTCATTTCACTGTAAGAATGTGACCATTTCCCGAGTAACTCAAAAGATGAATGCTAAACAATTGGGTGGTAGGATGAGATGGCCATGATGGTAAATCCGGAACCAGTTTTCCTAGACGATAGCTCGCTCGAGGATGCGTTAGACAGCGATACGGACTGGGAATATCTTTCGGATGAGTACTATGACCATGACAAGACAGACAAGGTCCACCGTCAGAAGAAGAAAATTGAGAGCAAGAAACCAGCCCAGCTTGACCCGGCCACGTTCTACGGCGTGTCATGGTCTGCTGGTCCACCATCGAAAAATGATGGACCCTTGTACCAACCTGGAGAGGGAGAGAAGGTGTCTCTCCTCAAGAATTGGCGTGAAGTCTTCCAAGAGTCAAAACCGAAGACAAAGAAGACAAGTGAAAAGCTAAAACAAGATGGAAGTATTAGAGCAACATTCCATGACCATCTATCGACACGATTCCGTCGTAATAGTGAACAGGGGACATTAGTTGACGATAATCTCAACCTCGGCAACAACATGGAGACCGATGGACTCTCTCATCCAGTCTCTGGTTTGAAGGCTTTTATACTTGGTTCAAGCATGTGGCCTGAGAAGCAAGGCCATGACCACCTTTCTATGAATAATAACGGGCCACAGCTCAAAAAGGGCTTTTCGGCGCGTGACGAGGCGAAACCTAGCAATAATCTCGATATAATACTGCCCCCTGCGCCAAAGAATATCGAAGAGTACAAAGAAATCACTACTACCGCGCCTCCAGTTACACAGAAACGAGGGCGGAAGAGAAAAGCAGACGTGATCGTTGAACAGACCACCCCTGACTTGGACTCTAGCTCAGGCTCAGGTCCTATCAGGAGCTCGAAGCGTAAGAAGGCTGGCTATACAAACGGCGTAAAAACCGCAACATCTTCTCGGCCCATACGATCTTCAACGAGGCGGAAGTAGTTATTCTGAATTCTCAATTGTTCTTTAAGCTCTAATTTTGTTATCCTATCGTGTACTATCTTTACATAGTCAGGTCTTCGCTGTAACCATCCCATTATTTAAGATTATATACAACCCATCAAATAAATCAGGCAAACTCCTTGTTGAACGCTCTTCCAATAACCATTCGTCTAATCTCGCTAGTACCGGCACCAATCTCATATAGCTTGGCATCCCGGAGGAGTCGTCCGGCAGGGATCTCGTTGATATATCCGTTGCCTCCCATAAGCTGGATAGCATCGAGACTGCACTCGGTAGCACGCTCTGCGGCGTACAGGATAGCACCGGCACAGTCCTGTGTCTTCACCTGAGTTCCATCAGAGGAAATGGCAGACTGGTCAACCTGTCGGGCAGTGTTATAGGTGAAAGCTCGAGAGGCAGCAAGCTTGGTGTACATGTCAGCGAGCTTTCCTTGGATGAGCTGGTTGTGCGCAATTGGCATGCCGAATTGGGTACGGGTGTGAGTATATGGAAGTACGAGGTCGAGACAAGCTTGCATGATACTGGGGAAGTTGATTAGTCTTAAGATTCTTTGAATCACCATGTATATGGGGAAAGATATCTTACCCTAGTGGTCCAGCACTAAGAACAAGACGCTCAAGGTCAAGCCCCTCCATCAGAACTCTAACTCCCTTGTTGATCTGGCCTAGAACATTGGCGTGTGGGACGAAGACATCCTCAAAGATAAGTTCACCAGTGTTGGATCCACGCATGCCGAGCTTGTCAAGCTTGCGGGCACAGGAGAAGCCCTTGAAGTCCTTCTCGACGACAAACGCGGTGATACCTTTGGAGCCAGCATCAGGTTCAGTTTTGGCGTACACGACGATGAAGTCAGCGTCAGGGCCCTTGAGTTTCCTGTTAGCCACAAAAATCAATCCTTTGTAGGAGCAGTTAAAAAAAAAAAAACCTACGTTGGTGATCCACATCTTGGTGCCATTGAGGACAAATCCGCCATCAACAGCCTTAGCCTTGGTCTTCATGCTCACAACGTCGGAGCCGGCAGAGTGTTCGGACATGGCAAGTGCTCCAATCTTCTCTCCGGAGATGAGGCCGGGCAGGAAGCGCTCTTTCTGCTCTGGCGAGCCATTGAGGCAAAGCTGGTTGACGCACAGCTGGGAGTGAGCAGCGTATGAAAGTGCAATGCTTCCTAGGAAATATTAGAACTTACGCTTGAATATAGTAAACTAATAACAATAAATGCTTACCTGAAGCACGGCTAAGTTCTTCCATCACGATGCAGTGTGCCTGATAACCCATTCCGAGACCGCCATATTTTTCCTCTGCAGTGACACCCAAGAAACTTCACATAACCGTTAGCTGTCAATCGTACTGCATATCGTTGAACAGTGTGGTAAGTAGCTACCCGGCTTCGCCAAACTTCTTCCACATCTCGGGGGGAAACTGGTTCTGCTGGTCCGTCCTGGCGGCGACCTCCTCTGGAATTTCACGCTCTAAGCCCGGTCAGCACTATCCTCTGTACGCTAGCAGCTGCCCGCGTTATACGTACTGGCAAACTCCCGGACGGTATCCCGAAGCTCGTTCAGTTCATCTTCAGTTGGGGGAGTGAATCCCTGGGGGTGTTTCGTGGAAGCTGCCCGCCATGCCGAAACAGGTACAAACTGCCTCCGGGTGGCCAGGGTGACTCTGGGGGCGGAACGGCCGAGGAAACGAGGAAGAACCGACGATGCCATGGTGGTGAATACCTTGATAGAGATAGAGATAGAGAAACACGCAGCAAGGACAAAGCAAAGTAGCAACTCCGGCGGCGACGCGGACGAAAGAAAAAAAGAGAGAAGTTGCAAACTGCCTCTTTCGGCGCCTCGGCTGACCTTCCCTTTCGGCCCAGCAGGCGCGGCTTGCGGCGGCAATACCGCCCGGTAACGCCAGTACCGCGCGTGGGGCTCTTTCGGCTAACTTCCCCTTCCAGCTCTATTTTTCCGGCGTCAAAAACGACCTGAAGAGGAAATCTTTTCGACGTCGCGATATCAAAAACGAAACATCTAGCGAGCGACGCAGACACGGCGAGGCTGACCACCGCGGAATTGAGACCTGGAGCTGAGAATGATAGTAGGATAGGCCGCGGACGCTTCAATCAGTTGTTTACACCCTTCGTCTCCGTGCAATTGGAGCTTCGTTGACCGACCATGGCTGCTCTCCGCGCCCCCTCTGCCGGCCTGCTGCATAGCATGCGATGCGCCCTCAACCAGCAGCTCCCTCGACGAGCAGCAATCACACTGAAGCCGGGCTCCAGCTACCGGGTCAGGAGTGTTGCCAGCTTCACGCACGCTCACCAGGCGTCTGCCATCTCTGTGCTGCCCACCACCGTCGACACCTCGTCCGCAGACTTCCAGGAGAATGCTAAGCAGATGGAGGAAGTGCTCAAGAAGATGAGCGACCTGCATACCAAAATCGCCCAGGGAGGGTCCCAGAAGGCCCGTGAGAAGCACATTGCGCGTGGGAAGATGTTGCCTAGAGACCGAGTGACCGCTCTTATCGACCCGGGCACCTCGTTCCTCGAGCTCTCTCCCCTGGCCGGCCATGAAGTCTACCCTGGTGACGATGTGCCATCTGGTGGTATTATCACTGGAATTGGTATGGTCGAAGGTGTCAACTGCATGATTGTTGCCAACGACAGCACCGTCAAGGGCGGCACCTACTACCCGATCACCGTCAAGAAGCATCTGCGTGCCCAGGCCATTGCCCAGGAGAACAAGCTACCCTGCATCTACCTAGTTGATTCTGGCGGTGCCAATCTCCCTCACCAGGCGGATGTCTTCCCAGACAAGGAGCACTTTGGCCGTATCTTCTTCAACCAGGCCCGTATGAGCTCTCTCGGCATCCCCCAGATCTCCGTCGTCATGGGACCATGTACGGCCGGTGGTGCCTACGTTCCCGCCATGAGCGACGAGTCTATCATTGTCGAGAACCAGGGAACCATCTTCCTTGCCGGACCGCCACTAGTTAAAGCAGCTACCGGTGAAATCGTCTCTGCCGAAGACCTTGGAGGCGGTAAACTACACTCTACCATCTCCGGCGTGACAGACTACCTTGCCGTTGACGACGCCCACGCCCTCACCCTCGCTCGCCGCTCGATATCCAACCTGAACTGGCCCAAGACCACCTCCCCATTGACTCCCACCTCGACTTCCACCGAACCCATCAAGGAGCCCCTGTACCCAGCCTCCGAGCTGGCCGGGATAATAGGCACCAATCTCCGCCGCCAAGTCGACGCGCACGAAATCATCGCCCGTATCGTCGACGGATCTGAATTCTCCGAATTCAAGCGCGACTACGGCACCACCCTCGTCACTGGCTTCGCACGCATCTACGGCACGCAGGTCGGCATCGTAGCTAACAATGGCATCCTCTTCTCTGAATCCTCGCTCAAGGGCGCACACTTCATCGAGCTGTGCACCCAACGAAACATCCCCTTGCTCTTCCTGCAGAATATCTCCGGTTTCATGGTCGGAGCCGATGCCGAAAAAGGCGGTATCGCGAAGAACGGCGCCAAGCTGGTGACTGCTGTTGCTTGTGCGGATGTCCCTAAGTTCACTGTTGTGTATGGCGCCAGTGCTGGTGCAGGTAATTACGGAATGTGGTATGTTACTTTTCGCCTTGCCGCCGTTTTCATTCTAGCTAGAAGAAAAATGTCTGAGACACCCTTGAGATTAAAATCGTATACTAATTAAGCATTTGCAGCGGCCGTGCATACTCCCCCCGGTTCCTCTTCATGTGGCCAAATGCAAAGATCGGCGTCATGGGCTCGGAGCAGCTAACTAACGTCATGGCTGCGGTTGGCAAGAGTGTTGATCCCTCGCTGCGCGACCGTATCGACGCCGAGAGTGAGGCCGTTTTCTCGTCTGCACGTCTCTGGGACGACGGTGTCATTCCTCCGGCCGATACTCGAAAGGTTCTAGGTCTATGTCTGGCTGCGTCTGTCGGCGGACGTTCAGAGGAAGCAAAGACCAAGTTTGGTGTTTTCAGAATGTAATCTTTGTCATCCAAGCTGTCTAGCTCCTTATTCTTATATAGTCTCCTTTTATTTTTTTGTTGAAGATAGGAAAGGGGATCATCCGCCGGGCAAAAAAATAGAATCATGTACAATTACTACAGTTGCTCAGAGTGCGGTTTTGAGGTTGAATTTTGCTTGCTTGCATTTTGCTTGCTCCATATACACAGCCCAGCATGATAAAAATCTATTCCATAGATAGTAGATATAAAAGGAACAAAAAAGTTGAAAGGCATTGTAACGATTTCACATCAGGAGGGGATATCAAATGAGACGGACAAGCTGGCAGGTAAAAAAATAATAATAAAAAAGGACAAGGACAGCGTGTATAAGAACCGGTAGTCAATAAGCAGGACGGAGGGGAAAGGAAAATATATATACACAGGATGATGAAAGGAGTCTCGTACTTTCTTTTTTTTGCCTGTGATGGCTCGCTGGAATGAATGCTTTGCTGGAGTCAAGTCATGATTATATCGTGATAAAAAAGAAGGTCTTCTCTCTGCTCTTGTTCTCTTCCTTCTTCTCGTTCTTCCATCTTGACAAGGAAGAAACAAGGGAGGGAGGGGAGGCGCGGAGGTGGGAATAATATCCAAGGGAAGCCGATGGGAAGGAAATATAACAAAAGGGAAACTTTTCGGAGGGAGTTGGCGGTGGTTTGTTTATAGAAACAGTGATATGTATATCACGAAATGAAGGGGCGGTGTAGCGGAGTGTAATATGGAGGAGGATCAAGGTTGAAAGAAGATGGTATAAGAAAAGAGGAGATCTTCAGAGATGTAAAAAAGAAAATAGCAAATAGATGAGATATCCAAGAGAGAAAAAAAAAAAAAAAAAAGAGAGAGAGAGAGAAAATAAGACAACCAAAGAGCAAACCAGTGATGCGGAAGGGGTATATTAAGGCGGACAAGACAAAATAACGGACGGACGAATAACCTGCAGGAAGATATGGCTGACAAGAGTACGATAAAGGCAAGGCAAATGGGAAGCAAACGCACGGAGGAGACAAACGAGGCGGGAGAGAGAGAGAGAGAGAGAGAGGAGAAGCGGTGACGGTCAAAGAATCACACAATCAGTCTTCATCTTCGTCCTCCTCCGATTCCGCCGCTTGTCGGCTGTTCCGCTTGCCTCCTTCTTGCGACTCCCTCCGTAATCTCTATCTCGGTCTTTATTGGATCGGATATCTTTCCGTATAATTTGCCGACAGAGGTCTATGAACGCTTCGTCTACGTTCGCTCGTCTTCGTGCGGAAGTCTCGTAGTATGGAGCATTCCCCCACTGTTGGGATAGAGCGAAGGCGCGCGATCGTGAAACGGCGCGGTCTTCCTCAAGATCTGACTTGTTACCGACGATGACTATGGGGACTTTCTCGTCGTCTTTGATACGGATGATCTGTTCGCGGAGCTCTTGTAGTTCATCAGGGAGGACATGCTCGTTATGGAGAAGACGAGGAGGAAGCCTTCGCCTTGTTTCATGTATAGTTCCCTAGAAACAGATTGTGCACTTGTGAGTTGCTGCTGTGGCAGTAGAAGTCGTCGAGCAATTGGGGCTTGGGTTTGAAGGGGGGTTGGGTGGTAAGGAGGGTCGCGGGGTGTAAGCTGGGGCTGTTTGAGGAGTGTCTGGGATAGAGTTTCATAGAGATTGAGTTACCTCATGGCGGCTATAATTCAGCTGTTAGTCTGGGGATGGCCAGGATAGTCGGGAATTGAGGGTGATTGAGACTTACTGAACTGTTCCGTCCCAGCTGTATCCAATCTGCAATCCACGGGTCAGCAATTGTTGTAGATGCTGTGAGTAGATAATCGACACTCAGGATACGTACATTTCGAGCAAACATGGCCGTCCCTATACGAAGGATATTAGCGGGTATTCAGTAGGTGGAAAGAAAAAAAAAAAAAAAAAAAAAAAAAAAACAGCGGCTGACACTCACATCTACCGCAAGTACCTTTCTGTAGGAATCTTCGATAGTCGGATCATAGCTCTCAATCCATATATTCTGTACGAACTGAGCTGAACGAGCAGTCAGCGCAAAGAAGACACCAAAAAGTACCGTATAAAACCGGCCAGCTCTTACCGGTCAAGCAGCTCTTCCCAACACCACCTGCAGGAAACAATAATGGTAAATCAGCAAACGTATTTCCCCTCCTCTCTCCTTATCCATCATAGTAAATATGGTATTGCCAGAAAGAATGTAAATAAAGACCGGGACAAGAGAGGTCCTACCGGCGCCCAGCACAACGATGTGATATTCCCGCCTGACATGCCGATGACGAAAGTTAGCCATGAAGTTTGCCGGGAAGGCAGAGAAGGTGTGTTTGCGCGGAGAGTCCAGAGAAGCGCGCAGATACGGCAGAGCCATTCTGGGCCTGGGGAAAAGCAAAGAAAGGGGCCCAGGTAGGAAAAAAAAAAAGGGACAGCTGGAGGTGGGAGGAGGAAAAAACCAGAGAAGGGGGGGAGACGAAGTAAGAACAGGAGGAAAAGGGACCATCCATACCGTGGCTGGCTCTTTGATGCCATCTGAAAGGGCAAGCTTCGAGCTGTTTTAATTAATAGGGACGAGGAAGGGAGGCAGAGGTTTTTTTTTTCTGGAGAGGACGCGGCGTGGGTGGATCGATGCTAAGTAAGAGAGCCGGGGCAAGCAGCAGTAGCTCAGGCGCTTCGACGGACAGGGAAGACGAAAAGAAAAGCAGGTGAATAAGAAGGAGTAGAAGGAGTAGAGAGGACAGCAGGCTGGCTATCTCTCCGTGGCTGGTGTCTTTATTTCCTGTCTCGCCCTGGTCGGCCCTGGGGGGGGGAGGGGGGTGGGAGGCCGCAGGAAGGGTTCACCGTAGCACAGCCGCCAGTCACAGCAACGGCGACGGCGAGACTGAGCAGGAGACCGAGCAGCAGCAGCAGCAGCAGCAGCAGTAATCGTAATAGCAATGCCGGACGACGAGGCAGAGACAGACGGCCGACGCAAGAGACGGTCGAACAAGGCCAATTTCCCTCCCCCCGAAACAGCCGGACAGTTTTGGCAGGTCGAGCGGGCAAGGGGGAGCGAGATGCCTGTCGATGGGAGGGAAAAGAAAAGAAAAAGGAGCAGAAAGTGAGCCCGGGAGTGAGAAGACGACGAGGAGGATGACGATAGGAAAGCCGCGAGCTCAGTCGGCCGGAGCAGAGGGAGGGAGGAGTCGCAGGGAGGCCGCTGGCGGTGGTGATGCTGGTGGTCGTTAGGGATGTTGACGCTGGCGCTGGCGGTCGACTATGCGCGTCTGGCGAGCTGCGGGCGGCGGACGAGGATCGCGAGGGAGCAACTAAGGCGTTTCAGCGGCGGGACAGCCTGTTCGGTGCCTTGTCGCAGGCCTGGCTGGCTGTTGTAAGTATCTCGCGGCGGTCTCGCTGGCGTGTCTGCGTCGTCTGCGTCGTCTGGGGAGCGAGAGGATGGAAACAATAATAGGAGACGGCGGAGGCTCAGGTCAGGAAATTACCTAAGAAGGCTAACTGGCGGGCGGGAGCTAGCAGGACAAGCTGTAGACGACGACGACGACGACGACGATGATGATGAAGATGCGAGAAGAGAAGAAGAGGAAGACGATGGAGATGGAGACGAGACGGCGATGACGATGGCATCTGATATGTTTTCTTTTCTTCTCGACAGGCCCCCTATCTGCCCGTCTGTCTATCGGTCTACCTATCTATGTACAGTATCTCGCGGGCTACCCATCCCACGGCGATCGTCACTCAGCCCTCAACGGCTGCTCCGGCGTCCTCCTCCAGCGAGCGACCAGACACGGTCGAGATCAGGCATCAACCGGCTCGCTGCTCACGGCTCGGGGGGGAAAGGGAGGCTCCCCTCGGGCCCAGCAGCAGCACCGCCAGCAAGCAAGCAGCGCTGCATAATAGGGTCAGGGACTCTCTGCTTGCGCTCTCTAGCCTGCCCACCCGTCTTTCCATTACCCCGGCACCGGCTCCCTCCTGTGCGTCGTATTGGTGGCCGCCAGCACGCTATACAAGCCCGTCAGGCTGATCACCACCGCTAAGCTGATGGGTCCCCAGTGGACGCTGGGCCAACCGTCCGGCGGCGCTGCCTCGAGAGCTCTAGCTGGGCCCGGGGAACCCTCATCGTCGGGGTCGGGGGGAGAGGAAGGGCCACCGGGTGAAAAAGAAAAGAAAAGGGAGAGAAACAAGAACAGAACGATGATGATTGATGACGATGGTATGTGCGGGAGTAGATATATACCTCTATATATATATATATATGTAAATGGACCGGGCACGAGCCATGCAGACCAGTTTGAGACGGGATGCATCTGAGATATAGGTCATGGATTGCCCAGCTAGTGTGAGCTGCTGCTGCTGCGGCTGCTTTTTAGCCATCGAACCAGTCAGCTCGGACAGGTCGACTCCAGTCCGGTGTGGTGTTGCCATCTTACTGGATCAGAGCTGCGTGCGTTGGTGGGAAAATGAAGCTGTCCAAAGTGGCGCTGTTCCAGCAGTCGATATCACGATAGACCCGACGATGATATACAGGACCGTGTACCTCAGTCAGTCAGTCAGTCAGTAACTGGTCTAACTGGCATAGTCCACAAAGCAGGTGTCGTCTGCTGGCCCGTCAAACTGCTCGGTCAGCTTGGCCGGCGCCGTCCGTGTCTGGCTGCTCAGCGCTTTAAAGACATGCGGAAACACCAGCTCGTCCACGTCTTGAGCCCACAGAAAGTCGAGATGCTCGTAGTGTGCTATCTCCGTCGCCATCGTGTGCGCAGGCAGCTCCTCCAGCATCACATCAATGTCGACCAGGCTGTCTGACCCGCCGTAGACCAGCACAATGGGCGTCTTGATGTTCTTCGTCGGGAACTTGGCCGGCTTGTAGAAGCGTGATTTGGCTGCGATGCTCAGCTTCGACCCGGCGTTGTCGTCGTACATCTGGAAGCTCTTGTTGCGGATGATCTGGAACCAGTGCACAACCGACTTGGTGCTCGTCGACGAGTACAGGTGCACATACGCCGCCAGTTTCTGCACCGTGCTGATGTTCTTGCCGCTCCAGTTGAACAGGAACAGCAAGGCTGTGTCGATGATGCGTACAAAGATGGGGGGGTACAGGATCGCCTGCCACATGGCCGTCGAGCTAAGGATGCTCCGTCGTCCAAAGGCAAGAAACATCACGTCCGGAGACGCCTTCACCAACGCATCGACAACCCCGTTGCTGAGCCCGGCCGGAGACATCGCCGGTGCCAGGGCGATGAACAGGTTGATCCGTCGGTTCAACGTTGGGTGAATCGACAGGGTTGCAAACGCCTGCGCCGTCCCCTGAGAGAACCCAATATACGACAACGACGGCTGGCCCGTCACCGAAAGGATGTAGTCGATGCTATCCGGGATGTCGTGGAACGCAAACTGGTCGATCGAGAAATTCCAGAAGGCGCTGTAGGACGGAGACATCGTCGTCGCCTTCTTCGAGTACTTGTTGCCCCGGTTGTTCCCCAGCCAGACGTCATATCCCAGCTCCACCAGCCGGAAGGGCAGGCATCTCTTCTCTTCCGTCAAACACACCCAGACCTCGCTGCTCATCAGCAGCCCGTGGTGCAGATACACAACCGGCTTCCGGGACGCCTCATTGTCCACATCGTTGCTATTCTCATAGACATGCGTCTCGCCCTTTCGCAATGGCAGCCTATGGAGGCCCAGCAGATAGCCGTCTTTCGTCTGGACGACATGCTCCTCCGTCTCGTAGCCGAACAGGTCACAGAGCTCTGTAAACTCCGAGGCCTTTGCAATCTCCGCAGATATGCTCTCTTGCTTGGGACGTCTAGGCTGCGCCGCAGACAGCACATGGAACAGCCTCTTCGACTGTCGATAGCAGAGGTTTATAATGGGTTGAGCTGCACTTTGCAGTCAGCAAGGCCCCATCATCGCCATAAAGACTAAAATAGGGGGTGGGTATAATAATATCTCGGTCCAAACTCACGCAGGCAGAGGGTAATGACATGGATGATCCCTTCTAGAAACACCAGTCCCAACGAGATAAAGAGAGCAACATACTCCGTCCTAATCCACTCTAGTCAGCAATCCAATATCTCGTTTTCTTTTGCCTATCTTCGTAATTCCGCCCTGTACTCTCTCGCTTCCCCTGGCTTACCATAGAAGACGCCCAATGAACGGGACGCGTGCCATCGTGAACCGCAACAACCACAAAACCACCCGGAAGAACAACAGGGAGAGAAGAAGAACCCCTGGTCTTAGCCCTGACAAGTCACCATTGATCTCTATCTGCTTCTTCTTCTTCTTCGTCTCGTCCTCTTCGTCTTTTTTATATCTTCAAACTTGCAGCTTTTCGCATGTGAAAAACAAGCCTTACGTCATCGAAAGCACGGGACCTGTCGCTTAGTCATATATCACGGGACTCTGTCTTTACCTAACCCAATCAGGATGAAGCTTATGATATATCAAAAGGAAAAAGCAGCGAAACGAAGCGACGACGAGGGCGAAGAAGAGACACAGAAATAGCTGAGCGGCGCATTTTAGAGACGGGGGACGAGCACACGACTGCCGCAATGCCGAGCTCGTGTAAAGACCTGCGTACGTTGGACCCGACTCACTCAGTTTGGCTTGTGGCTCGGTCATGAGCGCTTCTCATGGCTGCACCATATGACAGACCCCTTCGCATATGACATGACATTGAACGTTGAACGTTGAACATTCCTCCCTATGGAGCAAATGGGTAGTCCGCTAACACCTGCAACAGGCCAGGCACTGGCCGAATGCCTCCAGGAATCAGACTGTATCATGGTCCAGCGGAACACACCCCAGGAATGTCTGCGTTCCCCAAACCTCGAGCAATTGCCTATCAAATGTCAGCAGCTGAAGAAGGGTCTCAGCGAGTGCAAGTACGGCTCCTTTACCGACCCCTCCCACACTCTCCCCAATCCGTTACTTAATCGAAGCTAATCATATGCCAGACGAGGAATGGTAGACATGCGCAAACGGTTCCGCGGCAACCAACCTTTCCATCTAGCCAAGGAGACAGACAGTGTTACCGGCGAAATCGTCGAGAAGAAGAAACCGGTCCCTCAGCTCTACGCTGGTCGGCCGGCGTACCAGGGTGTCAAGGAAATAAGCGGCGACGAAGTGCAGATGGACCCTGAGAAGACCAGGGGTTTGTAAGAGCTGACCTTGTGATTTGCCGGGTGCCCCGTGTGGGTGCTCTTCGATGCCTATATTTCTACAGGGTGGAGGGAGGAGTTTCTTAGACTTGCATATCTATTTCATTTTGCTCTGAAGCATAGGGAATCTTGACGAGCATGGGCGTTTTTGATTTATGGGCTATAAATGTACAATATGGAAATGTCTCTATTATCAAGAAACTAGAACTCTGCAGATATGTATAAAAAACACATTTTCACGACTCTCAAGGAAAATCATACCGTCACTTTTTTTCATGTATCATACAAAGTAGCCGGTTCAATCCACTTGCCATGAAGTATAAGAAGAGCTCAAGGACCCATTCCCAATGCAGCAGTTATTGATATATATTTTTTATTTATCCCATTAGATCTTGCTTTGAATGCCCAATTCTATTGCTCCTTTTTGGAATCGCTGCTTTTCATCGGTGGTGCAGAATACAACCAAACCATCACGAAGGCGAGGAATCCCCCGATGACAGACCAGAGACCGGCAATCCACACCCATCCACCGCTGATACGCCAGCTGCGTGGCCACTCATCGTGGGCGAAATGGCGGACGGTGACTTCATGTTTCTCTTCAATGTTAGTGATGAAGGGTCGCTTGTAGTTGACGCGGAAGGAGAAGATGCCATGCTGGTCGGGAAGAGTGAAGGAGGTTCGGTATATGGCCGCGTGCTCTGTTCTGTCCACGGGTTGCAGGTTAAGACGGTGGAAAGGGGATAGCATGGTGAATTCGAGTTGGATGGCATCTTCTTCTGCGGTCCAGTAAGGTATCCATTGGTCGTAGCTGTATTCTGAAAGCTCAATGGTGAATGTCTAACATTGTAACGTTAGTATAAAGTCATCGGACTTTTGACACAAGACAGATATACTAACCACATCGTTCTTAATACGGTAGATGGATGGGTTGAGTTCCTTGGGTCCAGACTCAATGTCACCTTTCTCGTTCAAATGATGTTCAACCCGAGTGACCTTCACCACACCAGTCTCCTGGAAGGTCCAGGCGGTAAGCTGTTGAGCAAACTGCTTGTTGGCTGTCTCTACTTTCTCACCCTTAGGCGCTTGCACCTTGGCATTGAACCACTCGTCCTTCAAACTATCAACTGATCCAAGGACTGTGACTCTCGCCGAGTTCCTTGCCTGCATAGCAGTGGCCAGAGCAAGCTGCGAACCAGTTGGAAGCTTCTGATCAATTGACTGGTCGTCATCTCTCTTGTCATAGCTATAAGCTGTTGCGGGAGCTCGGATGATAGGAGCTAGTAAGGGGCTGTTGTTCCCCAGAGACTGTCCAGCGACATTTGGAAGAGCGAGGATACCCTCTCCGTTAAAGAAGGGCTTGGTATCAGGACGTAGCCTGTCCGGTCGTGGTAGAAGGAGAACATTATGTTTCTCCGCGGAAGAAATGGTATCGTAGTTGAAGTGGTCGACAACAATTGGGGCTCTGTCTGGAGAAAGATGTATGTCGAGTTCGAGGAGAAGAGAGCTGACTCCGTTGGGCGTTGGAGCACCACCCGACAGTGCAACTAAGATGTTTCCATTGTCGTTCACAAAGTCTAGCAGTGCCTTTGGTGTCAAAGAAGGTCCCAGGCCTATACACTCGCATTAGCATGATGCCACCTGTACCCATGCCCATGCACCCCGAGTTGTCATGCTGCACCTTTAGATTTTGGTGGGAGAAGTATGAGATGGTCGTAAGCCCTGGCTCCAAGGTGGTAGAGTGAGAGCTTCGTGTTCTTCGGAGACTCGAATGTAAGTTTGTATCCTCGACCTAGCAAGACGCATGCCTGTTAGCCATACCGCAGCCTGCAATAGACGAGAAGCAGGGTTACATCTTAATATGCAACAGAAAGACTAACTTTCTAGGTCTGCCCAGAAGGTCGAAAATAGATCTCGTTCAGTCTCGTCTTCCTGGATAACCAGCAGTCTGTTTCCAGTACTGCTCACGGCGTACACTGCTGCGCTGTAGATACTCAGGCATAGAAAGGTAAGCAGCCACTTCATCGTGGAGCTTGGCTGGCGGTGCTGTGGTGGATCAAGAGGGGACGCGAATTGGTCGCTTTCGGAGACAGGCAATGGCAAGAAAAACAGCTTTCAACAAAGACCTTTATGCGACGATGGCCTGGGTATCATCGCGATCCCCGTATCGTTGGTTGGTGAGAGCTGCTCCTGGGCGCATTCAAATAGTTCGTTGTGTTAGTGGTGGTGGTTAGATTTCGTAGTTTAAAGAGACCAGCGTGTTAATCAGCGGCAGACGTGCCAAGACCAGGACGAAGCGCAGGCCAACCACAAACGGCGAAAAGCAACATCAGAAAAGCAGAACCAAGATCAAGCGCACGAACAATACACCATTTGGACGACGGCAGATAGCTCGATAGGCGCCCTCGTTGAGCTGAAGGCCGATTTGACGACCAAGATACTCCGTTCTACCAGTCAATTGGGACATTTTCCCTCCCGCTGAACCGACTCATCTCTCTTTCCGCCTTTCAACAGACCGTCACCATGTCGAGACCCTTCTTCTTCTCCCAGCCATTCCGCTACATGCGATGGGCTTCCTACGAGAAGCCAGCTATCTTCTATTCCATCGTTCTCGGCTCTCTCGGACCCGTAGCGCTCTTCACTCTTCCCCCTATCAGACGATACTTCGGTGACGTTGACCCCGCGGAAATTCCTTTCTCATATCCAGGTACGCTCCCAGCTCCTCTCTATCTGGCAAGCTTTATTGCTGACCTATGCCCTCCTTTCCTACTGATAGTCCCTGCCGGCCCAAGAAAGATACCTCAAGGATACGATGACGAGTAGCTGCAGATGGAAGGAGGCCAAAATATAGATTCCTTTGGCGGCTTGGGTTGGAATTACCCACATTATTTCAGAATCCAGTTAATCCTTTCTACTCGCATGTTTCGATATCGTCTCCTCAGCACGGCTATAAGGTCGAATGAAACTAACATTGGTGGTCCTGGATTAGGACCACGGATATTTTTGAGCCGAATGGCAGTATAACCGTATGGAGGGCATAATTACTAGTACCAGCCGCATGACAACAGCCGCGCTCCTTTTTACGCCATCTTTCTTATTACACAACTTTTGTACATATATGTCATATTAGCGGCCATTCAATTGGTTCTTCGGTTCCATTCCATGCTCTCCCGGCACACTCAATATTCAAGAGGCAGCATTAAATAGTTACTCGGGTTAAATCGGATAGGGGCGTAGAAGAATACTTGAATATCTACACATTCTCAGTCAAGGGCTGAATGTATTAGAACGAAGATGAGGAATATTAATGGGCCATTCAGATGAAGAATATTTAGTAAACGCCCTCCGATGCAACTATCTAGTATAAAGGATAATCATTACCACGCGATCTTTCATTCCTCTGCACAACGGCGGCGATGTAAAGGACCAAAAGGCTCCATGATACGAAATAATCCGGCCATCGAAAAGACCAGAACAGTTTATCGAGAAGAAAGTTATCAAAGGGGTATGTATGTAAGCGTGTAGCCCGGTATTGTGCATTGCGTAAGGATGATATTTGTGGTTCGGGTTGAGAGGGGAACGACGGGAAGGTCCAATTATTGAAGAGTATTCACCAGATAGTATAGAACAGGTAAAGTAGCAAGTTAAACGAAAGAGTATATCAAGGAAAAGAAAAAAAGGAAATCCTGATGCATCCATCGAGAACGCGCCCAGCTGTACATTCAACATTGGCATGGAAGTTTGGAAGAGGTGAGTGAGACCTAGAAAAGAGAAAATGTCGCAAGAATAAACAGACACGATTGTGCAAAATGGTTTCAAAACAGCCTGCCCAGTTTTACGAGTAACGTCCTTGGTGGAACTGAAACGATAGAAAAGATAACATGAATGGGGGTGAGGAGAGTACGTAGATTCAGAACAGGAGAATAATGGCCTTAATGTGAATTCCAGTGTGGCTTTGAGTCGATTCCATGGAATATTGAAGCATCAGTGGGCTCTTTGTAATATGAAAATATCAACGCTTGATTTCAAATGAAATCGATCAAGTATCCATCCATGCTTAGAGTAGCATATTCCAGCGGCAGAAGTGGGCTCCGTGATAGGGGAGTCCCGATATCATCATTCATTCATTCGTTCACTCATTTGTAGTCCAGATAAAACAAAACACATCCAAAATCCAGCCACTGTAGTTGAGTGGGGAATAAGATCGACTATATGGGGTTGATTATCCACATGACAAGAAGAATTGCCCGGAGATGTAATGTGAATTAAGGGGAGTTAGCCGAAGGGGTTGGTTCAAACAAATGTGAAAGAATACATATCCTAGAAGAAAGGGGTGATATTCTGGTGCTATGCATCTAATGACGAGGGGCAGGATTCCTAGGGTGTCCTCGGTCTGGCTGACGGTCCTGGTAGGCAGGTTCCACTGGATATCCTGTCTCCATTATCCTAGGATCTGGTCCGGTTGATGGAGGGTATGGAGATGTAGACTGGCCAACAGGGGAATAATCACGGTCATTCTCATATCCTTGTCCAGAGTAGCGGGGTTGGGATATTCCCCCAGGGTAAGCGTAGGCACCCTGACTATGGATATATGATTGCTCAGCCGTTGTCACAGGTGGAGTGGACTGGGTTGAGTAGGGTGGTCCACCACTGGGGACGTAAGAGCTACCCTCTTGCGGGTATCCAGGCTGGTTACCATAGTCTTGGTAGTTTGGCTGGGGCGGATGGGCAGGGTATGTTTGGGAAGGTGGGTAAGTAGAATATGACGGTTGTTGTGATTGCTGTGGACGTGAGGATGAGTATGCTACTGGTGGTTGGGGTCGGACAGAAGAGGAGTCATAGTTTGCTGGTGACCTGTTAGGCACTGGTAGGGTATTATAAGTATCATAGTAGGTACCTCTAGGCTGTCCACCTTCTTGTCTGCTACGGACTTCGACGTCCCATCGCCTAGAATCTGCCTTCAGATCTGCAATCATTTCCTGTTTCAGTCACGAGGTTAGAATCGCGATTATCAGCAAAAAACATAAGATTACCTACAGTCGTCAAATTTCGGTAAGCACGGATGAAATATCCCGGACGTCCCTGTTCATCTAGTCAGTAACTTCAGTCCCGGGTCCAGACGGAGAGAGTTGTAAAAGGATATCTAAGATAAAAAAAAAATTAAAGAGAGGAGGGGAAAAGAGAGTCCGACCTGGTGAGTTCCAGGCCTCACGAGGGCATCCCGTCCAAGGTAACGGCAAATATCTGCTTGAATGACCTCGCGGCTGATACCATCTTGATCGATAAAATATTCATTGAGTCGAGTCTGAGGCTCCGGATCATCATATCTTATGGGTTGTCGCTGTGCCATTTTTATTTCCAAGGTACAGAAACAGAGATGAAAAAGAAATAGAAACTAAAAACCCTGGTTTTCACGGCTGGAAGGAGAGAGATGAAGAAGTAGTCCTAGTCCTGGTGGAAGAATGTACAGATATCCCAAATTTATGTCTCCGGAAGTTTGAAGCAGGCCGAAGACGGTATATCTGGAAGAGGTATAATATTTCCTGGTGCTTTTACAAAAGGGGATCCAGGGGAGAGTAAGTGAAAAGTGGAACAAATTGTGAAAGAAAAAGAAACCTCTGGGAAGAGAAAAAAAGGCAGTAAGTTGTTTTTAGAAAAAAGGATAAGAAAGAATCAAGTGATAAAGGGAGCAAATCCTAGAGGGCTGATATATGCATATATGTCCTTCGGGTTAGGTGAGTTCTCAGGCAGAAAGATACGAGGTTCTCAGCTTTCTTTTGGCGCCTGAAAGCGAGGACTCCCTTTGCGATCTTCTTCTTTGTTTTCGTTTCGCGTGTTTCTTTTTTTCTTCTGTATCTTCCCTAGGAGAGGAATATAGACGTGCGTATAAGAGTGTATGTGTAAACCTGGATGCAGGGGGAGGTGTTTCCTTGGGAACGGATCCAAATGGCGGATGTAACAGTCCTCTTTTGGGGTCCAAAATGATAATATACCCACAACAATACCAGAAGCCGTGTGCAACTGCTCCTCAAAAGGTATGGTGATGTAGTAGTATTGGAAGTAGATATTGTCTATGGCTGAAACAAAAGTAATCCAAGATGGAGAGTGGCCGGGGGAGTCCTACGGGAAGCCTGCTGGTTCACTGTTGGAAGTGTGGTATTGAGAGCGACCGACTGGAGGTGAAACCGGGCGCAGAGACAGTCCTTTTGTCAGCAGAACGACTTGTCACCTCTTGAGATGCGGCAGAGATGCAGCAGGGTGATAGAGAGAGAGAGACAGAGAGAGCGCGTCGCGAGAGCTGGAGCAGCAAACTGAGGTTGAAGAGACGAAGTCGAGAAACGGCGGAAGAAAGGGAAAGAGGAAGAAGAAGAGGAAGAAGGAAGAAAAAGGCGAGACGACGCAGAAGGAGAGAAAAAAGGCGCCAGGAGGGGCAAACAGTGGGTCTGGCGAGCGGCGGGCGGTGATTGGCTGGCTGCTGGATTGGGTATGTTTGCTTGGGCTGGACAGGGCGAGGAGGAGCAACAACAAGGAGACGACGAAGACGAAGACGAAGAAGACTCGGACGGGGACGGGGGGACGGGGGACGGCGAGACGAGCTAAGCGAGGTGAAAAGCAGCTGGGGAGTTAGCTGGTTAAGGTGACGATAGAGGTGAGTGGTAACGGGTAGCTAACCACGGTTCAGAGTGTTACTAACACCGAGACAGGGCCGCAGCAAACTCTACGGAGTACGGACGGCGGTTTGGACGCAGCAGATCGGTCGACCAGAACAAGGGCTTGCCATCTGATAGACTTATTCCGGCTCGAGATCAACGCCTGAAGAGCCTGTCTGGCCCCCTCATCCTCCCTGAAAATTTTCAGTCTCGACAGCGTCCTACCTGGCTGCAAGAAAGGGCTGGCTGATTGGGTGCGGTGTTGCCGCTGCTTGTTAGGCACTCATGCAGCTCTCCCTTGGGCACTCACCCAACCCTCCCATACCTCCGCTGCTGATACACACCACAGACAGCCCAGGGAGCCAAAGGTTGCCCACTCACACTCTGTCCTTCCATGACTCCCTGCATCCAGCAGAATCTCCCTCTCAGCCGCTTCGTACGGCCCTGTCAAACAAACTAATAGAAAAAAAAAATGACAACAACAACCTTCCCTATGGAGACCTTGCTTAGGATGCCAACTACCAATAATATCCAGGCTAGGTGAAATTCCCGGGCATCTCTCTCCACTCTGGCCAGCTAAGTAAATCGCAATTTTTTTTTTTTTTTTGGCTGCAGGGGAGAAGGCTGGTAAAATAATGATGGTACCATCCTACTGCATTCTTCTGAACATGAAAAGTCACAGCACAAAAGCTGAGGTCGTACACTATCTGTCTAGGAAAAGAAGCTCCATATGTCCTTTCTGATGGGTACGTGAGCCTCACGTCGCACTTTCGGGACAATCAAAAAAACCTATGGAGACTACGGAGCACGAAGTACGAGGGACAGGTATATGTGATGTTCTTAATTATCGCGTGGCTGGTTTGGGGTTATTGGCCCCGTTGAAAATGATCTCAGAGCGTTGCAGGTGGCTGGAAATTCCTTTTTTAAACTGCGAACGAACCATCAATAAAAGAGATGGTAAGACGTCGGTTCGGACCCTCCGACTCGTCAGATCTACGGAATACATGGAACACTTAACTGGATGATATGGGCGACTTTTCCGGGACAAAAGGATGCTGAAGAGAGAATGTCCGTCTATCCTTTCATACGATTACGGACGGTGAGTTTAGGAAAGGCGGTGGGTGTTAAGTGGTATATTTCTTTCAGTGCTAGACTGGCGAATCACAGCTGGCTAATGTCAAGGAAGATCAAATTATGCCCAAATACCCTCCATCTAACATTTTATGTATCATGGAACTTGCACGTCTCACAGTTTCGTCTGCTGCACGTGAGCAGCCGAGACGACTTTGAAATTCAGTCGCGGAAAGTGAATGCGGATATCAAACCTGTTGTCTGCCGTCTTTCGTTGCAGCACGATCTCCTTTGAATTCAACCCAATAAGGGTCCCAGCATCCTGATGAGTTGATCCTGAATCAGTGGGCCAAACCAGCACTTCTTCGCCCTTCTCAAGCCCAAGTGGATCTGAGTCATCGAATTCGGCATCACTTTGAGCAAAAGACTCATGCTGGAGACCGTCAAGCACTTCACTGCCGGACACAAGCATCTCTTCCAACCTTCCCTTTGCGTGTGACAGGGCTTGCCTAAATCGGGCAATCCAAGCAAATACTTTCGGATGGCTGGCCTCAGTGACGATGCTGTCCTCCAAGGATCCCATGTCAAGAACCCAGTCCAATGGCCATATTGCTAAATAAGAAAAATAACGCAAAGGAATGTCAGCCTCCCAATTGAATCCATCGAGGAGTACCAGGGAGCAAATGAGAGACATACCGTGTATATCTGCAAGGGTTGGCTTTTCCGTCTTGCGGAGCCAGTCCCTCCCGTCTGCTAATAACGTTGATTCAAGAAAGTCAAAAGCACGCTTTACTTGAACCATCGCCTCGCCCCGAAGACTGGGCATATCCTCCATCTTCCATTTTGGACCGGTAAGGAAGGTAGATCTGTCCTTCAAGAATGCCGGGTCCCGTAAAGATGGCAGGTCAAGTGGCATCAGGAGAACTGCATTGAGAAACAGTCCTCCATCCGTCGACCATGTTTCAAGTAAGTTCTCCAGAGCTTGCCCTTCACCGTCTGTGGCACCAAGCCTTCCGTCCGGGAACTGTTCCTCAAGCTTTTTAATAATCAAGCGAGTGTCACAGTAGACATCCTTCCCGATGCTCAAGACGGGAATTCGTCGGTACTGGACGCCGAGAGTCTCTAGGTCCGGCCGTGGCATAATGAGTGGCTGCAACTGAATATTCTGTCAACATGCATGCTCCCTGTTACGGGTAATAGGGTACTTTTTATCATACGCATTGTTTGTGCTGAATTCCACGGAGAGTGAGGTACCTTCGTACTACTGGTTAATCAAACAGCGTTCTATTTTTGGTGTCTCCTTTTTGCTATCGGTAGGGCATGATTTAATTACATACCAAGAAACTCGCCTGGCATATGGTGACAGAAAGTAGTGGAATAGGACTGGCTTTACTTCTGAAGACATAACTAGTTGATTCACAAGCTATCTGAGTTCAGAGTTGATGATTTTGGATAAACAAGTTGCTTGAAATCCTGCTTGGCTTTATATCGGTTGCCTCCCAAGGGGCGCGCCCTGGCCGGTTTCAGGAGATGCCGAGGCACAATGGAATATAGTTTCCCCGCCGTTCGAGTCGCTTATTTAGCCAATGGAATTAAAGTAAAGCGTCGTCTACGGACACGCGACACGCGATAAATAGCCGCGCGCGAACACAAATGGGAGGGGTCTTGATGGAGTAAACATCCTCTGAACCATGGGACTTCACCCAAGCTTAATTCGCACGCATAGTTCAATTATAGTTTTCGCGTCTTTGATGTGTTTTCACAATGCTACCTCACTACTTAACGAGTAGCTATTTGCAATACAAACAAGATACCAATGCCGTGGCGTCATGGCTTGCCAAAACCGCCCGAGCCTGTGGATACGAAATTGACCAGCAGAGTGACCAGCCCAAAAAAGGAGGCAGGGCTAAAGGGAAAGCAAGAAAAGCAGCCCGAGCCGCTAAGGCTTCCACTAATTCCTCCAGCAAAAATTCCGCGTCCGTCAAACCACAGACATATGTCATTGCCATTCGCGACTTTATCCCCCTTGCCGAGACTATTGTAAAATGCGAAGCACCTAGAGTCAGAGTCCCGTCCACATTTGTCACCACCATCGAACGAGCTATATCTGCAAGACGCTCTCACCATAACATTCTTGGAGAAAAGAGGAGGACGAATGAAGATGGGCACGGTTATTTCATCAGCGTTCTTGAACGCGTTCATAACATTCTACGGCCTTTGTTCGTGGAGGAGAATAAAGAGGGCTTGGCTAACAAATTTGAGAAGCTTGGTGTCGAGGAGCCTTCGGATGAGCGTGCTCCTACCCCAGATACCACAAAATCAGAGTTTCCAGAATCCGGTTCAGACGCAACCTATGAAGCAGAACGGGTACAAGACATCAACGAGATGTACAGCGCTTTCTGTCTTATCATACAAGATTACCGTGCTTTCCGTATTGCAATACAGGAGACCTGGTTAGGCTACCGGCACGGTGTCTTTGATCTCGTTTCTGCGTCGATAATGACCAACACAGCTCTTGAATTTGCCCGCCAATTAGAGAAGGATGCAGCACCGTTATTTGACAAATTTGGGGGTTCGGCCATGGTCATGGAAGCAGTTTTTCTGGCTCAATGCCATAATATGGGAGAGGATAAAGATTTCCGAGAACTACCTGGTGACGATCTTAATTTTCGTGTTTGGGAAGCAGCGACAGAAATATTCTTTCCAACTTACATGTTCCTTCAAGGATTTGTTCCTATGGTAAGCAAGGACAATATGCCCGTTATAAAACCCGGCTATTATGGCGTTTATGACCCTACTAGTGACCGAACAAACAAAACGCCAAGGGAAAAGTTTCAAGAGGATAAGGTGATCCTTACGGAGCACTCCACTGAGTTTGCCTTACTCTGTATTTGTGCTCCTGATCTTTTAGCTGAAGATGAGCTCACACGCGGCCTTATGGAGGCGTTCCAAACCCATACAGTTACCCTTTCTCTCTCATTTGCTACGCAAGTGTACCTTGATATTCACCATGCGTTGCGTGGGGACGTGCGACGTGGTCTTCCTGATTTGATGGCTACGGCCAACATGATTGATGAGTCAATTAGTGATAACTTTCAGTATCGTAAATCCCTTCGTGTAACAGGGTGGCCTCGATCAAATGATACTGTCCTAGAGAAGATCCAGCAATTTATTGGTTTGTAGATTAAAAGGGACCCGGTTGGAGAGGCCCGAAGGAGACTTAAGCAACCTCCAAGAGAGCCTTATATGCTGCTATCCTCGCATCCTCTCTTATGCGGGCTGATTGCCTACAGCCTAAAAGCGAAATTTCAAGAAGTCAGTCTGGCCTTTGCGGACGCCTGGGGTTCCATATTATATACCTACCATCTCTATAACGCAGTGAAACAAGAAAAGCTTCTCCGGAATAACTGGCCAGATATGGACGTCATAATGGGAATGCAAGATAAGATTTTCGTTGGGGATCGACCCCAGACCCCAGAAGACTACCTGAAACAATTTGCTCTGAGTATGGGGTGGTCAGCAGCTGCATTCTCAAGAAATAGACGCCAGGGGGCTCTACCGGTTTCATCCCGAGGCCCTAAGACACTCAAGGAGCTTGCTCCAGCCGCCCAGATGTTCAAACCAAGATTCTGTGAAGGAGCCGTGCAGAGAGACTGGACGACAACAGACATTGAACAGATTGTATCCAAATCAAATTGGAGTTGGGATGAAGAGGCTTCGCCTTCAGAGGATATACGTGTGTATTCTATGTCCCGAAGCATGACGAAAGAACAGAAGAAAGCAACTCCAGGAGCAGTTAATGCCGCCGAACTACTGAAACAACTCCGGAACACTTTACACAAGGAATCTTTGGAGCTCAGCATACCATATCTCTCATTTCATCGAATATGCTGGTCGGTTCTTCGCAGTATTCATGAACACTGTCGTCCAACTCTTCGAAATATGTTTGGGGGCGGCTACATGGAAAGGGAGAATCAATTGCCTTTCGTAGTGGGATACATATTTATGGCCGCGTCAAATACCCAAACGCTCTCAGGTTTGCTAGGGGCTAAAAAATCGGATGAAGTTACCAGCAAGTTACTCTCCGAAGCAGCAACTGCTATGGATGAGTGTATAACGACTGTTGGCAAGCAGTGTTGTGACATGCTGGAACGACTTAATTTTCGTTTCATAGATGGCATGGACGATGAGGTGGAAAAGGAAGGAGATAAAGATAAAAATGAAAACAACTGAAATTGAAACTTACAGAGGGGATCCAAGGCACTGGACTCCACACGATGCTCATGAAATAATGGTCGATGATACCAGTTGAGGTCTTTTGAAAGTAAACCTTACGGTCTAACTAAAGACAAAAAAATCAAACTATGAGCGGCTATTTAACCACGTCGTTTCTCTTATCTCATATTGACCCTCAATAGAGGATTGAATGTTATTAATACTTTGTGCAGGCCCGGCTTATATGTTTATCTTGCTACATAATACTTTCTGCCCATATATTCCCATCGGACTAGGTACCAGCCATATCGATGGCGGCATTGAGCTGTCACTAAAGCCTAGTATGTGCATTATCTCTTTCATTTTTCCGTCTTACTCGGCAGCGCAGTTATAACTACGCGCCCTAGCTCTCCAGCTCACCTTCCGCAGGTCATCATACCCAGGGTAATGGATCTGAAGCTCAGATCCCCGACAGCCCGGTTGCCTATTCAACATGTTAATAAACATACCCTAATCTGTTGCCTAAGAGAACTCACGCATATAAAGTGCACCAGCTCCCTTTGTCGGAACCAGCTGCGTTTACACCATTGACCCCGCCATTTCCAGAAGGGAATTGATCGGTGATTGTGACTATCAAGTAAATGAGTACTTGTCACAACCAGAAGCATGGAAAAGGGCGATCAACATACCACAGCTCCCAAACGGGGTACGGTAGTACTCGCAGTGACCGACGAAGCCTGCCCCTGAGCAAAGATACAACCCTCCATGGGATCCATCTGTAATGCGTGGATCCCCATTGCCCTGTTTATTTAGGATCTGTTGGTCATAGGGCGCAGCATAGGTAGTAATAGCAATAGATAGAAGTGCAGTGATGCCCACGAGGAAGCCCATCTTCAGAGATCTATCAAGACGATAGGGTATTTGAAGGTTGTCAGTCAGGTTTTTCAATAGGATGAGAGAATGAGTTGGAATTGGGTATGTAGAGATCAAGGCGCTCGAGACCTTTTTATACATTAAACGGGGGCAAGAGAACGAAGGCCATTTCGCCATTCCTGGTCCTTCAAGATCAGCTTCAGCACATTGAAAGTGCAGATATCGCTTAATTGACTCTCCAGCCGTTTCACCTGAAGTCCATGACCTTGTCAAATGCAGCATATATCATGCACTATGGTGTAGGTATTGATATAGAGGAAGAGTCGCTCGCTTAAATATCTGCAAGTTTACTTGGTTGAGTAGCTAGTTAGTTACGCCAAGTCCAGCAAGCGTCAGCTGAGAAAATAGTGCCATCCCAAAAATCGGCAACTTCCGGTCAACATTTTACAGCCGAAGGGCGATGCAAAGGAAAGTAATAAAAAATGAATAATTGAATAATAATGGAAAAGGAGTAAAAGAATCAAAAAAAAAAAAAAAAATCAAAACATACGACAGTCGGGATTCGCTGGTGGTCACCCACCCAACTACTAACCGACCGGCAAGTGGCTTAAGTACAGCTGAGCGGACGGGAAGCTCTGTTTTCCACTTCCTATGGTCGTATGTACCCGACACATAGACGAGAGGATTGATATAGGGTGAAGGCGTATTGCATTTGCTATGAAAGGAGGTGTCAAATTAAACATGATATCGTAGCGAAAAATAGAATAAAATAAAATAAAGACAGAGAAAAATGAATTGATCCTTTTCAAATGCTGAAAGTATCAGTTATCTTCTGCATTTGTCTCCTGCTGTGGAATCCACGGGTTCGCATCGCCAATCTTCTGGACGACCAATCCTGCACTGCCCGGATTTATATATTTCGCTGCAGCCTGGAGCTCATAACTCACGTTCCTCAATTGTTCATGTTCGCGAGGTGTGAGACGCAGATACAATTCGATACCCACGAAATGTAGGAATGTCGCTATCGAACCAGCGAGAGCCGACTGGAGTTGTATACTTGCTCCAATAGCGGCTGGGTCGGGAGAGCCTGTGTCAGCTCTGACAGGCGCGTAGCGCTCAATGTTTCCTAACCATGGATAGATGGTGGCATTGCATATAGGGTATGCGCTGGTATATGGTACCGAAATGTTGTAGAACTTCCACGTAAAATCAATCTGATCACAGGGCCAGCTGACATAAAATTTGTACGCAATGGAGCGAAATATGGGTGAAGAGATTTCGATGAGAGGCCGCATGGTTATTATGCTTCCCATATAGAACATGGCTCGTAACATCCAAGCTCGATGTTGCTCGATTTGCTTCCGGCGAATGTTGATGTAAGCAATTATGATGGAAATTGTAGAAACCAGAACAAGGAGCCCATGGCTGAACCGAGTGGCAGGATCACCACCGAAGGCATGGGGAATGATTATTATTACACCCGCGTTCGAAATCATGAAAAGAAGCATAATAACGTATCCGTTTAGGCGGTGAAATAAAGTAGCCTTGTATCTAATTATCGGGATAAATTGAAGAACGATAAGAAGTGAACAAGGTAGGATTGCTCCTAGGTGTAACATGATACCGGTTTTATAGAGATCTTGTTGGTAGTAGTACCATTCGCCGGGGATAGAGCTTCGTCTGAATCTGTTTATGTCTAGGTATTGGAGGCGGGACAAAGTGAATCCAAGCAAGCCACCAGCGAAAATGAAGAAGAGAATGAAGTTGTAAGACTTTCTGAAGCCAACAGCCCCAATTAGGCGGTGCCAAAAGGATGCGAGCTGTATTTTTGACATTATGAAATTCTGAAGGGAAAGGCCGGACCAGTGTTCAATTGTGGCTGGTATATTTTTCCTAATAGTCATAGAGAACGTTGACGACATGAAAAGGGCTTTATAGCCATTATTTATTGCAGTAACGATACCGCATGAGGGCTGTTGTTGAAGATGGCGAAGCCGCTCGAGAATGGTGATCAACGGCATTCGGCATCGCCTGAAAGACGTATCCTTGAATATTTCATTGAGATGGAACATCCTTTCTTTTCCTCTTATAGGGTATAAATATGCAACTTCATTCCAGAAATGGTCAAATATTTGTGCAACATTCAGTTACTGATTCAAGGTTGTGATGGTGTGGCTGATGCTGCGCCCAGAAACATTTTTCCTAAAAGAGGCATTTTGCCGTTAACTAATTAGTCCGCCAAATTTCATCATTATGCGCTTTCTTACGGGAAAACGAGGAATGTCCAAGCGGATGACGACTACGATAGTCAAAAAACAACTACGCACTGATTGGTTTGACAGCGTTGTTATATGCATCGAGCATTTCCTGATCGTGGCTCAAGGGTTAGCCCTGTTGAAATTGGTCGTTTGATAACGTTCTCATAAAGGGAGGTATCAGCCTCGCCAGTAAAGGAATTTCAATATCAAGTCATTTCAATCAAGTAGCGAGAACACAGACACACGGTTAAATGTTGAACAGTTTCAATGAGTATCCTGAGATCAACTTGGTTAAGTGCTGATTCTCTCGGAGTCACACGCCAAGCGGTGTCATTCGAAAGAAAAGTTTATGATAGCTAATCTCTCGATGACCGAAGGCGATTGAACAATCCTGGTAGTACCTATCACAAGTTGCCCGACTTTCTCCTCGCAGCTTCCTCTCTGATGAGAGCGCGAAAACCTTTGGAGCCTATCCCTTTGAGAAAGCACTGGGGGACCTCTTTCCGGCTTGTTGGATTGCTTCTTTTCACGACACGGCATACGGAAGAGCCTTCTGACCCAGAGAAAATTCTGGACACATTCAGGTCATTGTAAGAGGTGGAAATCGTACTGATATCGATTCGGAGCAGCTGATTGGCCAAGAGATGTCAAAACACGATGCTGACAAACAAAACTTTCCGTGAATTGGCATTTTTACACGGAAAGTGGGTCCCGCTTCGCCCCACATAGGTTAATTTAAGGTTATAACTTCCTTGGGCAACCTAAAAGGCGTGGCCATGACCTTCGCGCTGGGCCGCAGGAGAAACCGGAAATAAGGCACCAACAGTCCGCAAGGTAGAGGTCTAGCCAGCTATGAAATTCTTACCGTTCTCCACGAGATGTGGGCGAGAATTCCGCGTTCAATTCGTGACTCACCTCGGTATTCCCCTTGGATAAATACCCCTCATTTTCGACTTAAATTGTGCTCTTTTCCCCAGGCAATGGTTCTCACCATATCCGTAGTAATCCACAGCTCCCTTGAGGCAGGAGTTGATTTCAAGCTGAAATCATGAAGCTGTCTAGCATATTCCAGAAACCACCGCCTCGTTATGTCGTGGCTAGCATTCTGTGCTCCCTCGGGGGTTTTCTGTTCGGAGTTGACACCGCAATTATCGGTCCTGTGACTGTGATGGACTCGTTTACCGGGTCTTTTGGCCATCCGAGTCCCACGCTTCATGGGCTGATTGTATCTTCGATTCTTATACCTGCCGCCACTTCCTCGTTTTTAGCTGGCCGTGTTGCTGATGTTCTGGGTCGACCCCCAGCGATTGCTATCGGGTCTGCTATCTTTGGCCTTGGCGCCGCGATCGAGGCCGCTGCCGTTCACCTTGGTATGTTTGTTGCTGGCCGAGTGGTAGCAGGTATCGGTGAGGGGCTTTACTTGGGCACATTGGTCGTGTAACTATGCGCCACCCTATGCCATTAACTTGAACACTCACACTGACGCCGCTGCAGATACATATGCGAAATCTCCCCTGCCAGACACCGTGGAAGCCTCACTACAGGACCTCAACTTCTTATCACTTCTGGGCTAGTTGCCGGTTTCTTTACATGCTACAGATCTGTCACGATTGATACCACCCTCTCCTGGCGTCTACCATTTATTCTCCTCGCTTCTTATTCTGCTACATTTGCCGTGATTGCATACGTGTTTTTACCCCCTTCTCCGAGATGGCTAGCTGCGACCTATGGCCAAAACACAACAGCAATTGATGCAGCCTGGGATCGTTTGGGTGTTTTGCATGCTGACCGAGAAGTTATGCAGTCAAACCTGGAGGAAGAACCGAAGATCAGATCCAAGGTCAGTCCTACTTTAAAGTTCTACAGATCCAGTTTTCTTTTGTTCCAAATGTTAAAAGAAACTGGAAAATACGTGTGCTAATTACAATTATTTACAGACGCTTGACGTCTTTTCTGCCGAAGCTAGACCAGGCTTCCTCCTTGCTATCTTCCTCATGGGTATGCAACAATTGAGTGGAATTGATGGTGTCCTTTACGTATGTTTTCATTCTTTAAACATTTCCGACCTCATCTAATATATTATAGTACGCCCCTTTACTATTCCAACAAGCTGGTCTCACTTCCGCAGGTGATACCTTCCTTGCCTCAGGCGTCTCGGCTATAGTCATTTGTGCAGTTACAATTCCGGCTACGATTTGGGCTGATAGCTGGAGCCGACGTCGAAATACAATATATGGCGGGCTTGGAATGGCAACAACAATGTTTATTATTGGCGGGTTATACGCCGGAGATGCAGTACATTCCTATGGCGCCGGACGCTGGGTGGTTGTCATCTCTATTTACCTCTACACGGTCATATTTTCTATCTCTTGGGCTGTTGCTGTGAAAATATATGCCGCCGAAATCCAGCCACAGAGAACTAGAGCAAGCGCTACAAGCCTTGCTCATGGAAGCAATTGGATCACAAACTTCCTCGTTGCCCTTGTGACACCGACACTACTCGCAAATACTAGCTACGGTGCCTATTTCCTCTTCGGCAGCTGTACCTTTGCCACAGCCATAGTTTGTTGGTTCTTTATGCCCGAAACACGCGGCCGTACATTGGCCGAAATACAGCAGGCTCTTCATGCTAGTCGCTCTAGTGGAGTTGATACTCCTGCAAAAGCTCTCTGGAGAAGGCTACGAAGAGCCCCTACTATTACGGTGACGGGACCTTAAAGCAACAATTGTTAGATTAAGGCTCTAGTACGAGAATTACTGCAATACTATAATACCACTAGCAACACCCGTCCCCCGATTACCAGGCTTTTTGGCAATGGTTTGCAGCGGTGATAATACTTGCCAAAGTGCACCTTTCTTAATTACATCATAACAAGTCTTCTTCATTTTCAGCCAGCGATTTCGGTATAGCCTGTCCATGCTCTTCAACTAGTCTGTTGAGATGAATAATCCATAGCAAACTGCTTGTTTCACCGAATAAACATCTGAATATTTCGATCAGTTCTTTTGAAATCGAATCTTCTTGGGCTGCTGCTAAATAAACATTTAAACCTAATAAATAGACGATAGTCAATGATCAGATAATGTATACTTACAGGATATCCACAACATGACCATATAGACACCGGGCACTAGAAAAAAAAAAAACAGAAGGGAGAAAGTAATAACTCTCTTACTAGATACCCCTTCAAGACGGTCATAAATATTCCGGCTTTTCAAAGCTAACAAGGGCGAGATAGGAGCGGTAATTTTTAATATTGAATAATAAGATTTCTTTGCCGTCGACGTAGACACCACCGCGAACTGGGTTATAGAACCTCGGCAGGAGTACAATTGCAGTGGACTTAACTACTGGACCCACTAGCTCCAACAAACGCGATGTACTACCCAGCGTTAACCTGAAGATTGAGACCCCAAAGAATAGGCTAGTTTGGTCGTGACGGATACCTGGAGTATACATCCTTAAATTCGATATGACTGTCTATACTCTGAAGATTTTCGCCGTCATCACTCCAGCTATCGATTTCAGGTTACTCCGTACCAGAAGCCGAGAGCCATGCAGAGGAACTGAAGTGATTGAGATGCCGCGTAGAGGATGGGCGACGTAAGGACGGACCACACTAGGCTGCGGCCTTGCGAGAGAAGCTGTGCGTGGTAGTGACTGCAAATGTCACCCTCGCGGGTCAAGGAAGCCACGGTTCGGATAGCTAAAGTGGCCTTGCAGGCATAGCTTGCGGAGTCTTCATGGGCTTCCATTCTTCTTTTCTTTCTCGAGTCGGACCAGCATTGCCAAACGGAAATACCCGCAAGCGAGAAGAAGTGGAATGGTGGAAATACACACCAGACTAACCTTCCACCCTACAGCCAATCCAATGGCGGAAGCGGCAAGCAATGTAGCAACCATCAAGAGAATAGCCATCGGAGTAATCCCAGACAGGCCAGCCAATTGTGAGGTCTCGGGAGACAGGAAGAAAGTGAGAGTACCTCCAGAACGTTTGTCAAAGTAGGCAATATCTTGCCGGAGGATATGTCGGAATGCTTGGTAACGAACTCGATAGGTAAGTCGCTCTGCACAGTAAGAGAACGTAATACCTTGAGCTATGAGAGCCAACAGCTGCACAAAGGCGAGCATCAAATACATCAGCGACCAGAAGTTGACTTGTCGCCGTATTTCAGAGCTTTCAGAAAGAGGGAGTGAAAGGGCTGTAATGCACTTAGAGAAAAATACAGTCTGTGTTGGGCTACCTCCACCGCAGACTATGCCGAGTGAAATTCCAAAGACCATATACTTCCATTCTTGTTTGTTCAAACCCGCGACAAAATGTATCAGCTCGAGCAGGGTATAGTTGTCGGCAGCGTTCTCTTGCTCGTCTTATCCCTCCTTCGCAAGTGTCATTCGCGATTTTTCTAAGCGTGTCTTGTCCGCCACAAGGTCCTGAGGTTCTTCTCCCTCATCCAATTGGCTGAGGCTGTCGCGCTTCTCATTATTATATTCGGCTTGCGGTAAATCATATTCAGTCTCGGGCGAAATGTGGTCATTATCTTGAGTTGTAGATTCTTGCTTCGTCGCTATTTGCTGAGCTTCGACCAAATTACAGTAAGTCGCTTTCTTTTGGGGGAGTTCATCGTGGGTACCCTACTTAACAACACAGCCGTAAGACATCACCACAATATTGTCCGCATTCTTGATAGGAGAGAGTCAATGAGTAATGATTACGGTAGTTCGCCCCTAGGCAGCTTTGTCGAGTGCAGATTATACAACTCCTTCGCTCTTTAATCGAGTGCGGATGTCGCTTCATCAAGTAGTAAGATCTTAAGATCGCTAACTATGGCCCTGGCAATGGCGATACGTTGTTTCTGACCTCCTGAGAGAAGTATTCCTCGTTCACCAATGTTAGTTTCGTAGCGTTCGGGAAGAGAAGAAATGAAGTCATGGGCCCGAAAAACAAGGAAGCCAGAACCTCGTTTGTATGTATACTGTACAGGTAAAAGATATTGTGTTTGAGATAAGATATCATAGCACAGGTATACTCACGTTTGCTATTCGAGCAGCACGCTCAACAAGCGTAGTAATCGCTTTTTCAGAGCATGCTCGTGCGGTGTTCCGATTAATCCGTGTTTAATATTTCCAAATATCGTAGTAGCAAATAATGTAGGCTCTTGACTAACCAAGGAGATTTGTTGACGTAACCAGCGTAATTTTAGACCTTTGATATTATGGCCGTCGATATATAGGGATCCACCAACAGGATCGTAGAAACGCTCAATCAGGCCGACGATAGTGCTCTTTCCAGAGCCTGAAGCTCCAACAAGCGCCGTGGACTTATCGGCTGGGAATATCAAGCTCATATCATCCATAACAACAATATCGGGGCGAAAAGGGTGTATTTGCCTGATAATCTTGAGCTCCACATCTCCCTAAAGTTTCTCAAGCTTCTGACCGTCGTTCGATAGAGGGTCAAGAGGAGAGACACGATCGATGGTTGCGTAGATTTTATTGGCTGTTGCAACAGCTGTGGTGATAGCTTGGACATTTGATGTGATATTTCCCAGGGCAAAGGCACCCATCATGATGGCCATTTGAATAGTAAGAATCTGCGCTAGCCCAACGGATCCATCCACCAGGAAGCGGGAGCCCATCCAGAAAGACAGGCCATAATTGGGGTAGATGTACCTACAGAGAGACAATTTGTTAGAGCGCTGGGTTGAGAAAATTCAAGAGACCGCCATCTGAAAGGTGAGATGTTGTTCTCCTCACCGTACTTACAGAAAGAGAAAGCCAATCATTGAGCTTGTGGCGGACTTAAGCTTGAATCCGGACTTCTTAGCTTCAACACGATACCCATCGTATCGTCGAGCCAACTTCTCTTGAGTATTAAACGCAACCGGGTTTCGGGTCGAGCTAATCACCTCTTCTACAACCGTTCCACCTTCGGCAGAATGACCGAGGTATTTCTTATTGAGTTTAGCGACGAATGTGCCTACGAGGCCAAATGTAACAACGATAGCGACAATGCTGGAACATAGAATCAGTGCCAGCTTCCAGTACCTAATGAAACTAATCACGAGAGCAGCCACAAAGGTAGTGATAGCTGTTAAGGTCAATCCCACTTTCTCTGAGATGCCTTCCTGGACAAGATTGGTGTCTGCTATAATTCGTGTGGTGATCTCACCCGCACCAAGCTCGTCGAAAAAGGCAATATTTTGTCTAAGAATGGCGGCCAGGAACTGCTCTCTAATCTTCGCTATGATGTGTTCACCGGAATACACGAAACCGACCGTAGCAATGTAAACCATAGCGAACTCGCCTATAGCGAGGTAGACAAAATATAGAGAGAAAGTTGCAAGCTCGTCGTTGAATTTGCTGTCTGAGATGTCGCCCAATAGAAAGCTGCGGAAGGTGCCTGCCAGACCGCCAAACAGAACAGTCATCATAGGCATAAGTGCACCAGCGATGATTGCGGCCACCGATGCAAGGACGAGGACGATCTTGTCGTTTCGTATAGCATAACGGTACAAAGCCATGTAATTGACGTTGGTGGCGGGAAGATCCACCTGTCTCTTGAGGATAAGCCTCTCATGTTGTGGTAGATGCTTGAATGGACCATAATCTTCCAGTGTGTCAACTGCCCCAGCCGGCAATGGGCCAGTTCGCGTGTTTGGCAGCTTGGCTTGCCTGGGCTCCAAGGTTGCGGCTCGGCATCATGAAGAAACCCAGCGATTATCGACGGAAAACTGGTAGTGGTATTACGGAGTAGTGTAGTTTGCCTGATGGGGAACAAGTTGGCTTGGAATGAAGTGAGGATGAGTCGGAAGGATGTCTGGAGCATGCGCCTGGATTTTGTTTACGCTGCCGGGTGCCCCTGAGCCCCTTGATTTGCCAATATTGACGAGTTATTTGGGCCAGGGGAGGCAGTGCCAGCGACACTGGATGTGATTCGGAAAGCATCCAACAGTTGCGCGGTGTACTTCGCTAGGTAATTGTACTGCAAGGATGTCTGTAGATAAACTATGTGGGTCAACGACCAATCGTAACGCGATATCTGACCCGGTATTGGCTGTCCCGGCGAGGGCCCGCCGGATTTAGTTGGATCGGGCGATCACCTGCCTATCGACCCGCACGGACCGGTTCCAGATCCTGCGCATTGTTAGTTATGCTAGTTATGCTCATTTCGTTGGTACTTGTCGATAAGTATTTTGAACTCATCGCCCAAACCTCACCATATCGATGCGGATAGTCATTGTTGGCGGCGGCCTGACGGGCCTGACACTTACGAGTTATTGGAAAAAGCAGATATCGACTTTGCATTTCTGGAGTTTCAAGTCGATTTGAACCCCCAGGTCGGAGTACCTATCGGATTGTATGCTGCCGAAATGCACATCCTGGATCATAGAGAAACAGCACTAGTCATAATGCCCAAGCGTGTCACGCCATCGGTGCTCACTATCTCAATCTCCAAAACCGGGTATAGGATAGCCGGGTATCTCGTTATTTCGAAACAGTCTCCATCAAATGAAATCCTTGGTTTGGCTATGGATCATGCTTTTGAATCATCTGCATTCCCTCAAGGCCTAGATAGACTCAATTAGGCCGAAAGGCAACATGCTGCCCAACAATACGGTGTCGGTGATGAGCAACATGTATTCGGGCAATAGTGTGCCTAGTTATGACGGCTCTTTCCACCATGGGGTCATGGTTTTGGCTGTGAAGGTGTCAATAGGAAATCATTGGCTCGGAGTGAGATATGCCGCCTCCTCATCAAGGATGACCCTGTCCGCCTCCTAATGCTAAAGCAGACGAGCAAGTGGCGGAGCAGCGACTGCAAATTGGCCAAGATCTTTTGTACTCGTGCCGGAGGCTACTCACGATACTCCCATGCGGATGCCCGGAAGCTAGCGGCAAAATATGCCTGATACCGCGACCCTAGGAGATATATAAAATCGGTGTGGCAGACACGTTGGTGGCATTGAAAGAGCCCCTTTTGACATGTGGAGTTGAGAAACGTATAGTGACCGTTAGGGGGAAATCATGAGCCACCGATTAGCTCTAAGGAAATCAAGTAACCCCTACATGACTGGCAGGAGAAGCACGAGTTTCGAATCAATGCCACAATGAAAGAAGTAGAGATTTGCTGATTGCATGGCTGGATCGTTGCACGCCCTCCTTGATCATGAATTAGATTGTCCAAACGCCAGCGCATCGTTTCTGGCTTGGTCACCGGCACGATCATTGGCGTTAAAACCATTGAGTACCTTTACTAGCCCTGTCTTTTAAGGGCTCTTTCCACTCACGAAATATTGCTGAAAGGTATGGTCCTTGTGTTGCTGCTCCGTCTTCCTTTCTGGGTGGCCATGGCCAGAGCGTTGGTCAATAAATTGGCTGAATTGAGCATAGTCCTTCAACTCTTCCCATCACCATCAAGACTGGTAGGCCGTTATATGAAATACGTCTTTTGCAGGTTGTCCAAAAACGCTAAGAAATAACTGATTTGATTATATAACCAAAACTTAAGTGATAACTATAATTTGGATCATGTGATTAACTAGTTTTGGGCCTTAAAGTTGTGTCGTTACAAAATAACTAATCCTTTCTAGTGACACAAAGCAGGCGATCCTCTGATGTCTGACCCGTGGTTTATCAAAGTCCGAGAGCTTTTCTTAGCAACTACTGATTATATGACTATTTAGTTACACGATTACTCCATAGTGATCACAGCCCTGAATCGAACTGTTCCCTTGACCATCGCATCTGAGGGAGTCGTTAGCTATACCATGTCCCCCATCTTGTGTTAGTGAAAGGAACTTACCATATGCTTCCTGGACCTTTGCAAGTGGGAATTTTTCCACCATGCAATTGATATTCTCAAGTTTCGTAAATTCGATGGCATCTTCGGAGTCCGTGGCGTGGCCGCTGGGCCAGCACTGAACAGTCAGACCTCGGCGTAACTGGTTCTCAGGTCAGTTGACTGATTCTTCAAGAATTGAAAATGCATTATAGCCCATGCAAGCTTACCATGAGGCCGGTGTTAACGGTGATATCCCCAGGGACTACAAGGGTAAATCAGCAAAATTTCAAGTTCAAACTAACGCCCAACTCTTAAATAACTTACTAGAGAGGACCAGAAGCTTGCCCAACATTCCCAATCCCTTGAGAAGTGGTTCTACAGCGCTTCTACTCGGTGCTGTCGAAACGATCATATCTGCACCTCCAATTGCCTGCAACTGCTCGCCAATATCACCTTTGCCGCCATCAATATATATGTGGGCTCCTAGTTCCTTTGCAAACTTTTCCTTATCAGAGCCTCTGGACAAGGCTACGACACGATATCCGAATTTGTTTGCATATTGAATTGCTAGATGTCCCAAGCCACCGAGTCCCTGGATAGCGACTGTCGAGCCAGGTCCCAGTTTCATGTTGCGCATCGAGTTGAAAACAGTTACACCAGCGCATAGGATGGGGGCGTATACTGCTGCGTCGACGTCTGCTGGAACTCGCACGCCAGCTTCAGCACGGAGCAGACAGTACTCAGCATCTATAATCGGGTTAGCTTTATGGACCTGGAACAGTAAAGGAAAGAAGCTACATACAACCACCTCCCTTGTTGACACCATTGACCAATTCGTTATCACACATTTGGTAATAGCCCTTCTTGCACTGCCTGCAAGTGCCTATACGTCCAGTCAGCCTCCGTGAATGGACTTCTCTCCGACGGAAAGACATGGTGCTAACCGTCGTGACCGCCATGCCATGCTCCTCCAATCCTATCACCAACTTTCCACTGTGTCACTCCTTCACCAGTTGCAGCCACGTGCCCGATAATTTCGTGTCCTGGAACTCGAGGGCTATAAGGCGAAGCCGAAGCTAGTTGTCAGTCCATAATATCAAACTGATAATATATAAGCAAACTTACAGGCCGCCGCCCAGGCCATCGTTCTGTACAAATACATCAGAATGACATACACCACAGGCCTGCACCTTCACCAACACTTCCCCATTTCCCGGAGGTGTCATTGGCACCTCTTCGAGGACCAACGGGGCACCTTTTTCCTTGAAAATGGCTTGCTTGAACGTCTTGGGAATATCCATCTTCAGATGGCAGTATATCTTCAGGTATCAATTTCGGACTTCTTAAATCAATTTGAATAGTCCCGAGGTTTGAAGAAAGCGACTATTATGAGGGGCAATACTAGATTTTATATACAGCCAACCCAAAACCAGTTGGTTGTGTCATCTGTGGCACAGCAGACCGGATTTACATTCCACCCCCGCACAGAGCTCGAGCTTAGGGGATATGCCTAAAGTCCGGACTGCAATAAGTTAAGTAGTCATAACCCGTGCAGGCTTATCGTAATATGTGAAAATCTGGGGATTATGCGTGGGAGTTCCCTGAATGGCCGGGCTCATTACAGATGGGCAGTGATATGGCCGCGGAGATAAGGATGGGGCATGGCAAATAAGTATTTGCGTCCATCCAGCCCAGCTCACGATTTGCCACCGTTCAGACCTGTAGCTAGCTGGCATTTAAATCCGGACAAGTGGTTTACCGAGAGAATAGCAATAAGTACTACGCTCGATACCTACAACGTATGGACAATGTCTATGGCGAAGTAGCGATAATGTATGGAAAAGGAGCTTCGAAACGCCGTTATTCATGTAGAGCGTGTTCCCATAGCCAAGCCTTCTCATTGCGGTTTTCTAAGAACCATGGGAGTTTGGCAACTATCCATCTACATGCCTCTTGTACAGAAATCTCGACTGTGTTCTCCTATGTTCCAATCCAATCCAAGCTTGACGGATAGAGAACTGGGGAGAGCTTGAGCTTGGCCGATAACGATAAGATCCATTACATAATCAGACTGGTAACGGGGCCATTTGATTTGATAGGTCAGTAATAATAGTGGCAATCTTATTATGTCATCCAGCAATCTCTCTCTCTTTTTTTTTTTTTTTTTTGAGTTTCCTCCTATGCACGTTTTGACCGCAACATTTCCATACCAAGAGAGATGCAGGACAGCATTTTTCAGCACGAGTCAAAGTGATGTTTGTTTGCACTTGGCTTCTATTCCTCAGTTATACAGTGGATATATTTTTCCCAAAATTCATGTGGTTATACCTGCAGATATTCACCACCTATCAGTTTGTGGGATTACCGGTCGCCATCTACTTAGAGAATATTCAAAGATGCAATGAAATGGCTGTCTGTCTTAGGGGTATGCCTGTATATGAATTTTGATACAATGAAGATGTGACCACAGACCATAGTCGTAGGTGTTGTTGGTATTAGAAAGGATTGATCCTACATGTAACTCGGTTTTCTTGAAACGTGTAATTCAAGGAGGATATTTGGTGTAAATTTCCACCTACACTACATATTTCAATAGAGGTACCGCTGCACCTCTGTGTCTGGTGCTATAGTTAGCATATCTACGCTTTGATATGGAAACCGTGAGGACAAGTATACCGAGCCGAGATAAGGATAATTGTCCATTATCGACTTCACTTCGCGAGGGCTCCCACCTATTAGGTTATATTGAGATCTGGCTCGTGCTAATATCTCCAGGAGATTTAACCGACTGATAGCAGTGAACTTGGGTATATGTAGACCCTGGTTTCATAGAGTACACTACTTTATTGTCACAGCACAATCCATCAGCTGTAGTCTGACGCCCAGTAGATAGATATACACAGAGCTTCTGACAGCTAATATCTCGAAATTTTGTATGAATCAAACGGGATAAAAGGGTGGTGCTCTAGCAATTACCCGGCGAATAAGAGAACCACTAGAACCACTCCCTTTACATTGATATTGCAGCACAGGGTGAATTTCAGGAAACATCCGCCCGCAAAAGCAACTATCCCACATGACTACTCCAATAGAGGGCCTCTGCCTTGTCCGTTTACTCCAAGCCTCTTACAATCGTCGCCTTTTCTTTTTTGTTGCCCCCCCCCGTCTGATGCCGACACGGCAGTCAGCTGCAGGTGCTGAAAAAGCCGCCCGGAGTTGCTGCCGGCCCGGGCCAGATGACACATCACGTGATCGGATCAGGGACCAACCTTCCGCGCTCAGATTTTTTTTTGCTCCGAATTCTTCCATCTCTTCCCAGATCACCAACGCTCTCAACTCACCCTCTACTCTCCCCCCGTCCACCCGCTCTTCTGCGTCTTGCGCATTCATCACCGTCGCAATGGCCTCTGCTCCCGCTGCTCTGGCTCAGGCCGTCCCCGAGAAGAAGCCCGAGGGCGTTGCCCTGTACGCTCGTTTCGCCTTCGCCGGTGCTGTCTGCTGCTCCGTCACTCACGGTGCTTTCACTCCCGTCGATGTGTATGTTATCCAGCCCTTTGGAATCAATTGGTCGTGATTTTACTGACAGGTTCATCTCTGAACAGCGTCAAGACCAGAATCCAGCTTGATCCTGCCACCTACAACCGTGGTATGATCGGCGGTTTCCGCCAGGTCATCCAGAATGAAGGTGCTGGTGCTCTTTTGACTGGTGTCGGCCCAACCTTCGCCGGTTATTTCCTCCAGGGTGCATTCAAGTTCGGTGGATATGAGTTCTTCAAGAAGCAGTCTATCGAAATGCTCGGTCTCGAGACCGCTCGCCAGAACCGTGCTCTTGTCTACTCTGCTTCTGCTGCCAGTGCCGAGTTCTTTGCCTCCATTGCCCTCTGCCCTCTCGAGGCTACCCGTATCCGTCTTGTCTCCCAGCCTACCTTTGCCAACGGTTTGATCAGTGGTTTCGGAAAGATCCTCAAGAACGAGGGTGTTGGTGCCTTCTACAGCGGATTCGGACCTATCCTCCTCAAGCAGTAAGTTACAGAAACCCCCCTGGCATGGCGCCAAAAATAGCAACAAGGAGAGGCTAATACAGAATTTACAGGATCCCCTACACCGTCACCAAGTTCGTTGCTTTCGAGAAGGTTTCTGAGACTGCTTTCTCCTTCCTCGACAAGTCTAAGCTCTCCGACGCCGCTCAGACTGGTGTCAACTTGGGATCTGGTCTTATGGCTGGTTTCGCTGCTGCCATTGTCTCCCAGCCCGCTGACACTATGCTTTCCAAGATCAACAAGACCAAGGGTCTTCCTGGTGAGGGCATCGTCTCCCGTCTCATCAAGATTGCTGGTGAGCTCGGCTTCCGTGGTGCCTTCGCTGGTCTTCCTACTCGTCTGTTCATGGTTGGTGGTCTTACTGCTGGTCAATTCGCCATCTACGGTGACATCAAGAAGGCTCTTGGTGCCACTAACGGTGTCGAGATTGCCAAGTAAGCACTCCATCGCGGACATCCCAAAATTTCGCATGGTTTAGTTAGGTGGTAGGAAAACGTTTTGGTATAGAAATGAGGATGGCTATATCTTCAGCCATTTTCATTTTTCTTTGAGTTGGAGAGACGGGCTCCCTTTCTTTCATTTCAATCACCCTCCCTTTTCCCAAGATGCGGTGCCCTCCACATCCTCCGCAACTTTAGTGTATAATTGCATCGGGCCGGCCAAAACCAACTGTACACTCTGGCGGGCGTTATCATCTTGTTTCAATGACTGTAATAGACTGTTTCCTTGTGCTTTAGATTTCTAGGTTGTGCAGGTGGTTGCTGCATGGCTTTTCTACAATCCAGAGACATTGATGTTATGTTTCAATTTGCAGATGCTCTAACGTGTGGGTTCTAGTTCGTCGTTTGCTGTCGAGATTAATCATGTCACTATTGCCCTGCCGCGGGATTTTTCTACAACTCACGTTGAATCGACATGCCCCTTGAATAGCGATTGTCGCTGAAATACCCAACTCGTTCGATGCTTTTGATAAATCATGAGCCTTTGTGCAAAGCTTCAAAAACTTTGATCACATGGTAACTGAGTTGAACCTGGGCCATCAACTACAGTCTATCTCCATTCATTTCACACCTGGAGTTAACGAGGCGCTTGCGGACCATGAGATCCCTCTTCAGGCTCCGCAGAACACGACGATCACGTTCAGAAACTAAACAATCAAAGGTGTTTATCTTGGTTAGTGATTTCATCCATCCAACACCGTCTGCTTTACTTCCAGCTCGGGCTGCGGGAAACACTTACGAGAAACATTCTGTGTGCAAGTATAGCTCTTTAACGTCTCCAGCTAATACTTTCCTCTGTGCTTCTGCCGCTGCATTACGAATATCGTGGAGCATGGAAGGTGGGCCACAAACGACGATTCCAGCCGATTTTCCGGCGGCCTGCTCCGCCAGAGAAGCCACAGCACTGGCCAGGCATGGCCGGCCGTGCTCATGTATAATTGAACCCTTCTCTCCATTGAAAATTTGATCCATCCCGCTAGGCGCATATTCTTTTGCCATACTAATATTGTTCTGTAGAGGGCTGCTGATCGATGTGGTATGTATTGAGACTGAAACAATTGAGCTTGAAGGGTAACAAGAAACCAACGCCCTGATTTTTTCTTCGTACCACTGGGCCATTAGCGAAGAGCGGGCTGCATAAATAATGTTGAGTGTTTTCCCCTTAACCTGGTCGGCAGAATCCGCGGCCGCGCAGCTCCTTAAGACGTCCTCCACGACTGGAAATGAGAATGCAGCTCCAGATCCACCAGTAATGATGAGAATGGAGTCAAACCTTGCCATTGACCCGGAACTTATACCACCATAGGGCCCTTCAACCAAAACTCTTAAATTAAGGGAAGAAACATCTCTGGCAGCATTTGAAAGCGATTTGGTTAGCCCTTCGTAAGGCTTGGCATAGACGGTCATTTCATTCGTCTTATTCGAGGACTCTGCTTGGGGTAACGAAGCAATTGTAAACGGATGTGTTGTTAGGCAGTGAGCCCCTAGACCGAGAAGTCGGAGAAACATATGCTGTCCTGGTTTCCATGAAATCGAGGAAGTTGTTGTAATGCGGATTAAACCACAAGGAAGGACGTCAACTGTCGCGAGACAAGGTCGGTTGATGAAAAAAGTCCGAATTTGAACAAATATAAGGCAGGGAAGGTAGACCGCAGCCGTTGCAATAAAATAATCCCTACGTAAATTGTTAGTACTTGGCACAAATGTCATTCTTACTGTAGATAGCCATTCAATAAAAGATTACCATGAACTGAGGCGGAAATCACAATGTATAAAAAGGAAGATAACATAAACCATAGCTGCAAAAAGATGGGTGGCTTTGAAAAATTCATAAAACCGTCTCCTACTACTTATTAGTTCTCGAAGTAGTGGTGTCCCACGAATCTGAACATACCGTATAATTGGCAACGAAAACCATGTTAAAAAGGCCTGCACTATAATCGTGACAACTCCTGTCCAGTAATGCATAGACGTTTTCCACTTATATTGCATATCCCCACGTTGAATATGGTAAATGATGAATGGGCACATATGAACCAGTCCTAAAACGAACATAGCCCAGCTTGTCCATTGATGGAAGACCTGACCAAAGTGTTAGATGACCATATAGTCCTTTATTTTGGATAGGGAAATGCCCTTAGGGGTTAAGGACGGTTCAAGGGGTTAGAGATATACTTGAAGTTTTTCGTGTGATGTCCCAGTTAACACCGCAATGAAATTCGCTTTAGATGCAAGAGCTCTGTTTTCATAGTTAGAGTGGCCTTCACTTGTGGAGGTCAAAAATTTACTGACATTGTAAAGGGAAGAAGCCCTAGAGCGATCCATCCTGCCCTGGTAGCAAGTGGCGGACTGCCACCAAAAACAACTTCTTTGGTGTTTGGCCAGTAGTATGGCTTTGGCCCTAAGGTTAGGACTATTATAGGATATTAGCTGAAGCCGAAGATAATAGTATCTGGCAAGGAGCTTACCTGAAAGGAAGAAAATTCCGGCAGAAATGACTAGCATTCTACCAACATTTGGTGACAGGCAGGCCAGGAACGGTACGCGGAACCCCCTATAAACACAATACCTCACGAAACTCTCGGGCTTTCGTAAGAACTTGTCGACGAAACTCCGGGAAGTAAATCTTCGAGAAATATATGCTAACATGAATACAGAGATGACTGCACACATGAAGTAAACTGCGGCTCTCGCGTAAACAAGATCGGATGTATACCTAGAGAATGATGCAATATTAGCCCAAAGACACCACCCTGGGCCACAGACTGCACCCATACCAATATACCCAGTAGCCACTTCGAAATTCACATTGTGCCGGTGTCAATTTACACTTATCTTCCCTTGATGAATGTAGTAGTAACGGGTTTGACATCCAAGGGAAGCCAGTAGGCTTTGGCTTGTGTGCTGTATGATGCTGCATGATATTAATATAGCAATTTAGACTCCGTATGCTAATTTCAGGAATAGAGGTCGCTGTCGATTTGACCAGCGAGCGCGGATATCATATGTTGTGTTAAAAACTGTCACAGAGAGCAGTTTTAAGGATATCCTCCGGGACTCGCTGCATTGAGCGATCGGGTATATGAGATGTAATACGGTCATCTTCATTGATTAGGCGCTTCATCTTGCTTTCCTGAAGTAAGTACCCTGTAGTAGTCAGGCCGAATGGAAAAGTACTTCCTGTTCTCCTTGATATAACCCAAGCTGTTACGTCCAATCATACTTTCCGCAATTCAACCCAATGCATATCCGCGATGGGGCTGGCTCCAGTATGAAAAAGAAATCACAGGCTTAACGTTTTTGCAGTCATCTTGGTGAGCAGATTTGAGCTATGAGATGCAGCCGTAGAAAATCTTGACAGTGACTCTAGACTTGGGCTGGAATGTTTACTCCAGCCCACTAGATGCTGTTGTTCCAGGACTTCGGGGAGGGGCCGGGTGGCTTTGATATAAGGCTGCAAAATTAGTACACCTTGCAGGTCTGGCTTCGAATGCAGCCCAGTTCAGGCTATTATTATTAATCTCCAAGGTATCTCAATAACCAGGCGGGTATCCAAATAGTGCATGAATCTATTTGTCTCCCGACGTTGATTGTTTGAGTGTTGATTTCTTGCAATTTGCAGCCGCACAACGCCTGAAGTAACCACCAAGAGATTAATAAGCAAGGCAAATCACGTGAACTTCGGCCGAACTAACTACCTAAAGCAACCTTCGGCTTTTGTGGCTTCGATCAACGTTTGCGGCTTGCTTGCGGGCGTTACTCTGTTCACCGCAGCTATAACCTCCAGAAGGGAGAGAGATGGGGGATATACTGGGATAGGAGGACAGCGCATATGCATACTGTCATGACATATTGCTATCTATCATGTTTTCAACCGTCCTCAAGTCGAAGTCACCTTCGATATCAAGCTCCATAGCTATCGTGTGCGATAAGCAGGCTACAACATATCTATCTGCCACCAATATAAATTTCCGCCGCTTATCCCACCTACCGTCATACCGACGATCCATTCACTCACAGCAGTTCCAACCTTTCGTCCCTCCTAGCCCCGAGTCCCTTGGGAAACCCCGCCGTGCAAAGACATACCCGCGAACTCGCAAATGGCTTCGACGGCTCTTTTACACAGGCGCATCTCTCGGCGCATTGTATATCTTGGATAGCCAGTTCAACGCTTCCTGCATCACTCGCACCACTCGCACATTCGCACTTGGCCTCTTCGTTGCTCTCGACTATAAAATCAACTTCCGTCCTAACCCTCCACTAGCAAAATCTATCGCAGCTGTGCACGCTCGGAGTGCGGAGCGTCTCTCTGTACTCCTTCGTGAGAATGGCGGATTATACTTGAAAATTGGCCAGGCAATAGCCATGCAAGCAGCCGTGCTTCCGCCGGAGTTTCAGAAAATGTTCTCTCGTATGTTCGACGATGCCCCACAAAACGATTGGAAAGATGTGGAGAAGGTTATCAAAGAAGATTTTGGAAAATCAGTTGAAGAGGTATTTGGAGTTAGCTTTGATGATGACCCGAGCCGTGGAGTCATGGAACGCACCGCCAGAGCTAGTGCTAGTGTAGCCCAGGTCCATTGGGCCAGACTAGCAGATGGGAGAGAGGTCGCAGTCAAAATACAAAAGAGGGAGATTGCACGACAGGTGAAATGGGATCTATGGGCATTTAAGTACGTATGCAGATGATGACTACTCTTACCCAACTTGTATTCGCGATGTTAACTAGAAGCTAACAATTACAGGGTCATCTCGTACCTCTACTCCAAGGCTTTTGACATACCATTTTATAGCCTAGTTCCATTTGTATCAGAACGACTCTTCTTGGAAACGGATTTTGAGAATGAAGCCGATAATGCGGAGCGTATGGCTAAGTTAATTTCCAGTGAACCACGTCTCCGAGATAGAGTGTACATCCCAAAGGTGTACCGCGAACTTAGCTCGAAGCGGGTTATGACCGCTGAATGGATCGAGGGAGTCCGTCTATGGGATAAAGATGCCCTGACTCGACCTTGGAGAGGAGGCTGGTATCAGGGAAGCCCAGGCTGCCATGGTGCTGCTCTAAAGGCGTCGGATGGCAAAGTACCTCCGCACCGTGTTGGCGGTCCTGCCATTATTGACAAGATAAAACCGGATCGTGACTATTGGAAAGGGAAGAACGGCCGTGGCGGCCTAGGCTTGTCACTAAAGGAAGTCATGACTACCATGGTGGATTTGTTCTCTGCACAAATGTTCCTTTGGGGATGGCTTCACTGTGATCCACATCCTGGAAACTGGTTTGTCCGCCGACAGCCTTCCGGCAGGGCTGAACTAGTTCTCATAGACCATGGCCTCTATGTCCATATGGACCCGAAATTCAGGCATGAATATGCCCGCTTCTGGAAGTCGCTACTAACATTCGATAATGCTGCCATCTCTGAAATAGTTCAAGGTTGGGGTGTTAGAAACCCGGACATGTTCGCGTCGCTTACCCTGTTACGGCCTTATGAAGGGGGCGAGCACACCACCTTCAAACAATTAGAGGGGCTGAGCAAACGGGAGAGAGCCGAGCGTCATTATGCAGCTCAACAAGCCATGAGCCAGGCTATCCGCGATTTTCTCGGAGATGAAACGAAGTGGCCTCACGAACTCATATTTATATCCCGGAACTTCCGCATTGTCCAAGGAAATAACCAATATCTAGGGTCACCTGTGAATCGTATCAAAATAACTGGAACATGGGCATCCAGAGCCCTGATAGAGTCTCCGTATCTCACCCTCTCTGAAAGGCTCAAAAACTATGGACGCCATATCATATTCAAATGCGTCTTGTTTACATCCGATGTCTTCTTTTACTTCACCAAGATTAAACAGTTCCTAGGCCTTAGTGGTGGAATGGAAGATGAGATTGAAGCCCAGCTGCAGAATATGGCAAAGGATATGGGCGTGGATCTAAGCCAGCCCGTGTTCGAAGGCTAAGCGCTGGTCTTTTTTTGATTTATTGTGTTCTTCGCTTCGCTGGCTGGAAGGAGGAACACATTCTCTACCACTTTATCACGAGGAGCTCCTCCACCATGTACAATATCACTCTTCTCTTCTGTGTACTAAACTGCAGTAAAATAATGCATTCATTAATGCCGTCATTGGTTACCTCGGTATTTCTGCTAAAGTGGTTTGTCACGTTTTTCGCGTATTTAGGTTTGGCTGGCTTCAACTAGCCGCGATCTTGGCATCTTTTCGATCTGGAGAGGAGCACAAACCATCATCCTTCGTCGCGAAACCTCTGGGCGTTTTCGATTCGAAACAGCGGTTTTAACCAAGCAGATCGATCGCTTGCAGGAACAGGCGTTCAGGAAAAATGTTCCGACTGAGATCGGGTTTCTTCTCGTTTCTGATATACTTTCAGGGCCATGCTAGGGCCGTTTGAGATGATCAGGAAACATTCCCAGACAGAATAATAGCGCCGAGACGTACGGAGTAAAAGCCACGTCTTGGACTTTCTCTGATCCGTAGATGATGGCAACTGGCCCGGCATCTTTCCACGATGAAGACTTCCGACCCTCGTCTCGCTTCACCTACCGTCACTTCCAGCTTCTGCGGTCCTTCTCAACCCGCACCCCCCTTCGAGTCATAGCCCACATCGATCTCGATGCCTTCTATGCGCAATGCGAAATGATACGACTGAATACCCCGCGAGATCAGCCTCTAGCTGTCCAACAATGGCAGTCTCTGATCGCGGTTAATTATGCTGCCCGCCCATTTGGGGTCTCGAGAATGATCACAGCCGCAGAGGCAAGGAAGCTGTGTCCCCAGCTGCTAACGCCGCATGTTGCGACTTTCCGGGAAGGAGAGGGGGAGCATTGGGCATACAGAGAAGGAGATTATTCTGTTCAAAAGGATAAAGTCTCGTTAGATCCATACCGTGCGGAATCGAGGAAGATTCTAGCAGTTTTGAAGACAACACTGCTAACTTGGGCAGAAGGAGTATACGATGGGTGTCGCGGTCAGTTTTCTGAACCATCAGACATGGTACGGCTTGAAAAGGCGGGTATCGATGAAGTGTTTGTAGACCTCTCAGCTCTCGTGTTTGGGACGCTGTTGCACCGCTATGAGATACTCCGGCGGGCTGCTACTCTTGACGGGTCAAAAGATGGTCCCAACACGTTTCTTCCTAGGCCTGAAACAACGGCGCTTATATGGGGAGAAGACGATGAATTAATTGATCTGGACACTGGTGAGTCTGAAGAGGATGACCCAGAGTGGGATGATATTGCCATACAGGTTGGTGCAGAAATTGTAAAATTCGTTCGAACAGCAGTATGGGACCAGCTCAAATACACTTGTTCCGGCGGAATTGCAAGGAACAAAATGATGGCTAAACTAGGAAGCGCGTGCAATAAGCCAAACCGACAGACTATTGTCCGCAACCGCGCTATTCAACAGTTTTTGAGCGGATACAAATTTACCAAAATCCGTTCATTGGGAGGAAAGCTAGGGAAAAAAATTTCGTCAGAATTCGAAACAGACAAAATTAGCGATCTACTAACCATCCCACTTGATCGACTGAAGAACAAACTGGATGACGACACTGGGATGTGGCTCTACCAAATCATTCGTGGAGAGGACGACAGCGAAGTTACCCCACGAACGGAAATCAAATCCATGATATCAGCTAAATCGTTCAACCCCAAACTAGCTTCTCTGGACCAAGCAGAGAAGTGGATGCGAATATTTGTCGCAGAAATCTACGGGAGGTTGGTTGATGAAGGCGTCCTGGAGAATAAACGCCGTCCTAAAATGATTACAGTTCATCATTACGGCCCAAACCAGGACAAGTCTCGCCAGACACATATACCGACTGGAGGAGCCATTGATCAAGTTATGCTCTTTGAGCTAGCAAAGAATTTACTTCAGCAGGTGGTCAGCTGGCCCTGTTCTCATTTATCCCTTACTGTTAGCGGGTTTGAAAGCGGGATCACAGGAAATAAAAGCCTGGATAGTTTCTTTATCCGCGGGGCAGGTGAGACTCCGGTCTCACAACGCGACGGTAGCATGCCGAATGGCGGCTGCCAGCCGGAGCTCCCTGATGATAACTCGGCGCACCAAAGAAAGAAGCAAAAAGTCGGTGAGGTTCATGGACAACCCCCATCGAAAGGGGTTGGTTTCTTCTCAAGATACAAAACTAGCACTAAACAAACGCTCGTTGAGCCTTTTCCTGAAAATACGGGGGTATCGCTAGCCAATCTTGAAACGAATCCAACGAATCCAACTTTCCACTATTCGACCCAGGACGTTTGTTCCCGTTGTGGAGAGACCGTGCCAGAGTTTATGCAATCGGAACATAATGATTGGCATTTGGCCAAAGACCTAGAAAGCCGGGAGCAACAGTCCCTGAACGCTGCTCGGGCGCGCGGTAAGGGGAAGACAAGACAAACGAGGTTGGCCTTTGGCTAATTTTGTTGCTTTTGCTAGCCGTGACGCGGTTTTCTTTTGAATCATGCAATTAGCCAGCGCTTGTACGATATAATGTGATATGCTTCTTGTCTTCTGTTGCGTTTGGTACAAAGCCCACCGCTCCATCTATATGAGTCTAGATGTCCTGCCTTCTTAATAGGGGGTATATGCTTCCCATTAAGTAGACGCAAACTCATTTTCTGTCGGGCGTAGCCGTTTGTTCCCCTTTCATCCCATCTTCAAGACAGGAAGGCAAGATTCTTCATAAAGCGCAACTACGTCATGCTTTGGAACTCCACACTTGGTTGCATGGATGCTTTTTTTCATCCTTCACGAACTAACTAGCTAGTTATCCTTGCTCTTTACCGATGTCCAGCACTTGGATACGGGGTGTGACATCATCGCTTTTTCAACTTTCAGCATCAGCAACATGATAAGTTGCCTCTTCATATATATGGGTTATCACAGAGGTTCTTGCTTGATGTATTCTGGGGGAAAGCCTTTTTACCTCATGGTCTCCTTTATAGCCTTTTTCCGTCATTTTCTAGGCCTCTTCTTCAATCTGCCTCCGGTAGCCTCGGATATAGATCTATGTATCCGGTGGCGACTCCAATCGGCAATATTCTATTCACTGAAATTATTTTGGGCAAACAATTTGCTTAGGTCGGGCTGCGAAACCCATTGCTGTGCTATCTGGATCAATACGGGGAGCTTATTGAGTTCTCTGGTTCCCGCCCCTTTCCATGGCTACCAAGACACGGTTCCACGAAGATTATCCAAGGGGGCAAGATGAGTTTCTAGACACACGGCATCGGCGGGGTAGATTCTCACCCCCGTTTGATGGGACTAGAGGAGAATGGCATACTAGGCGCCGGCGTCGAGGTAGAGACGAAGAGTATGAAGAAGAATTCGAAATTGAGGTCGACCGGGACAGGCACACCGGACACCACAGATCACCGAGACACTACAGTTGTCCTCGCGAGACCAGAAAGCCTCCTCCCCGAGTTGTGGAGAGGGAGGATCTTGTGGTTCGGAGGGAGGAAAGTCCTGGATGGAAGGGAAGGGAGAAGAATGACTTGATTGCAAGACGAGAGAAAGATATCGATATTCATTTTGAGGGTTCTGCCGACCCCGTTTTGCCTCGGCATCGACCGTCTCATATATATGAAGAAGATATATTTGAACACCAGCGACATGGTAGACATGGCATGTCTCAAATCACCCTACTGTTGGCAGGAATTCATACGATCATTGGAATACTAACTGTTCCATACAGGCCACACCCCTCCGCATAGAGGAGAATTGTACGTGGAAGTGGATACTGAGGACTCTAGGACAAGAAGGTAACTAACTATATCTTCTAATAAATTTCCTTTAAATAGTTAACTAGCTCATTAACTGACAATTAATAGACCTAAGAAACACCACAGAGACCACGAAGATGAAAGGGTTCTTGAAGTCGACGTAGACATCCATGAAGGATTGGACGATCGGCATTATAGAGGGCGAAACCATGACCCTTTAGTGTTGAGGCCGCGTGAACTAGTCCCAGCTCATATCCGAGAGGAAGATGAATACTATAGCCGGCACGTTGCGGAACGGCCATTAGAGAAAGAGAGATATCGAGATACCTCTCAAGATTGGTGCATCATGGATGTTCCTTCTGGGGCACGACAGGCCATGGCTGACGGACTCGGAGATGCCAGTGAAGATATTTCATGGCGTAAAAACAACGGTGTCCGAAGATCTAGGCATCTTTCTGATAAGTATGACAGGGAAGTTCATGGAACAGTTGCGAAACGGTATGTCGGTGTTAAAGAAAAGCGTGAAGAACTCTGGACAGAGATCACCAAGGACCTTGTTGTGAAGGAAGCCATCGAAGAGGCAGGGTATGATTATGAAGAGACAGCTGATTTCTTCTACGTCTTTTCGTATCTGGAATATGTAAGTCTCCATTTTCGCCCCGGTTTACCCTCAGGCCAGCAATATGAAGCAATCCTGAAAAGTTGATACTGATAATAACTGGCCATATTGCAGGGCGACGTAGCAGAACTGGTGAAATTCACAGAAGATTATCGTCGCCGACGTCGCGATAGGGTGTTAGAAATACAGTATGAGAGAGCAAAGGCTCATCACTTGCCTCCTCCGCTCCCCCAGTCCAGGATGCTTTTAGAAACAAAAACACCTGGACTGCCGGGTGATGTCAGGCGAGTAGAAGAGACAGAGATCTTCATTGATGAGAGCCGAAGGTCACGCCAACGCTCTCCGATACTCAGAGAACGTGTTATTTAATATATTTGCTTTTCCTCGCTGGTGACTTCCATCATTTGCTTCATTTTTGTCAGGTGGTTCCTTTGGACACGGAGAGCGGTCTAAAACAGGAAACCAATGTTGGCCGTTGCGGCGTTTCTTGGTCCAGTATCAACCAAAATTCACGAGTGACCGAGATATTATTTCCGACTGATATAACCAATACTCCTGGTTGGGTATTTGATGTCTTCTTGTAGCCTTTCTAGTAGACTCAACAGACTTCCGTGTGCAGTCAAACGAGATTTCCAATCCTTAGAGTTGCATTGATTGCATGTTCAAATGTTGTGAAAAGATGACGGCTGTCCGAGTCCAAGAGCAAAGAGCCAGCCCGCCGCCTCGGAGGCTCCGGAGATCCCTCGGACCGGCGTTTCTCGCGGCAAATCGTCTAATTTAGGTTATGACCGTGGCCAATAGCGGGAACTTAAATATCAAATGCCTTTTATTTTTACTTTACCTCTTTTCAATTCTTATATCCTTCTACTTATGATGGTAGATTGAAATGCGCTCCTTGACTGGGACACTCGGAAAACATATATACTAGCGCCAGCAACTCGCTTAGTGATGCCGTAGAAGCGTCTCTTGATAGAGCAGAAGAATTTGGCTGCAGGAGTAAGGAACCGCTGGAGAACTGTGTCTCTACACACATTCACGAGTGATCTCCCAAAGGCCGTCGAAATATCCCAAGAAAGACAATCTGTTAGTGCATATTTAGTCTCACTTGGCGGAAACGCTGTTTGTGTATGTGGCTCGACTTCCACGCTTTGGTATGTGAGACTGATTTGACTCACTATCAAACGGCTGCGGCCAAAAAGGCGTGTCCACCAATTGGCGACAGATAAAGTAGCTTGTTTAAAACTCGCTCATGAGTATGCTAGAGATATCTTCAATCAATAAAAAATCATACTATGAATTTAAAGGGAGATGAGTTCAAAACTCGAGGTCATTTAGCACCGGTCGAGAAGGGCCTATCCAGGCCATATGGCGATATGAAGTTCCACAAAATCCCACCACCTGTTGATATCTGCATAGTTTCCAGGTCTAGACAAGTGATATCTTCGAGACTATAGACCTTCCCCGGAATGCACCTAATTACTTTAACGGAATATCTTATTCACCGTGTATCTAGCAATTTTAGCACTGCCTCTAAACAGTAAGTTAGTCTCTTTACTCTAGGAAGTTTCCGTACTGGCGAGCGTTGTTGAAACAGGTACATGTTTGTCTAGTATGATCATATAATCAGGGGAAGGCGGTGAATTTCTGCGTCTCCTCCCTTTAAAATGGTCAAACGGGGTGGTGGTTCGATCCAGGTGCTTAGCCCATCCCTCTCCATTCATGCGAGGCCTGGGAAGCACATGAGTGGGTGTGTGAATACATAAGGATGGGATTGGAAACCGGTGGATTCCTAGTTACCATCTCCGAGGAACAATTGTGGCGAATAAACCGCTTCCAATAACAGGCCGTTATATCGTTCTTTCTGATAATGCGGAGAGGTAGTTTGAAAACACCATATCTATTCTCAACAACATAAGTAGAGGTCGTTAAGTGACCATTCTCGCTCGGCATATCCGTACCTCATAGTAAGCGGATATGTTCCCACAAGGTGGTCCCCATTGCACCGCTCGCCACGCAAAAAACACGAATAGCTGCAGGACCTCAAACATATTCTTATATAAGGGGCTCGTTTCTGCATCCCGGCCAGGCGAAGATTAAATAAAAGGAAGCGGCTATGTTTAAACCCGACCCGACCTTCAGTCTGGCCTCAGGAGGACAACCTGCGAATTGACCAGAAGAAGCCCTGTAGCGACGAATGAGCAACGGCGAGCCCTGAAACGCATTCCTTCACTCAAGCCAAGGCCAACCCGTAAAATCGTCCAATGACGAGGGCTACCATGTCGCCAACCCGCTGTGTTTCTGTTTCATCAGTCGGATCTTATCAAGGAGGCAGCCGGGCCAATAGACAACAGGACGAGAGAACTCAATGTGAGGCGTTATGCTATTCATCGTCGTTGTGGTTCTTATGTAAGTCGGTATCTATGGAGGCAAAAAAATGAAAAAAGAAAAAGAAAAATGATTGCAGAAGGAAAAAAAAAAGCAACGAAAAACTGGGAAGAACAATGACGTTTACTTTTTTCTTTTCTTTTGCTGTGTATGATCATATTCTTCTTTTGCTGAAGCGCCCCAGATGGGTGTTCCAGTAGAGTTGGAGCGGGTGGGCAAATACTTGGATGAGTGGGATCCAGCAAAGCCTGTTCCTGGTTCCTTAGCCAGAGAGTGTTAATAATAATATCTTTTCTTTTTTTTTTTTTTTGGGTTGCTTGGGATGGCCCGCAAGGTTAAAAAAAGATAGGTACGCTGGGGGATGCCTGTTGAGAAAGGCTGGTGTGTGATATATCTGCACATATAAAATGAGCTGGCTGGGGGCGGTTGGGAAGCATACTATATAACAAATATAATCCCAGTGCCCTCTCACTCACGGACCGGAGTGGCTGGTGCAGAGGAAACAGTTTGCTTGCGAGCTTGACAAGCCGCTGGCCACGAGTTTTTGTGGATACGGCAGGGGGGGGCCCTCCCTGAGGTGGCGTCCGTTTGTTGGCAAGGGAGAGACAAGAATTCATCTCCAGTCTACGGAATGGAGAGTGGGAACTTCATAGGGGGCGGATGGACTCGGGGGGAGTCTCAGCGACGGCCGAGAAGACAAGGAAGTTGGTCAGGAGATATGTACGTGTGTGTGGCTGTTTGTCTCTGATGAGAAGATGTGAATTGCCGGCTGCAGAGAAAGATCCAACATGTGTCGAATGCAGTGACTGTCAGATGCAGCCGTGCTTACGTATATACACGGGCTCGCGATCCACGCTCTCTCGTCGAGGCAAAAAGAGTTGTTACTTAGTGCAACACTACTGCTCTCCCTGCAGGCAAGGGAAATACGATGAGATCGAGATCGGTGAGTGGGTATCATGGCGGTGCTCGGCTTGAGACCATTGAAGCTAACAGGCGTCAAACGATGACAGGGGAAAGCGGAACCCGAGCTCGTGCTTGGAGTTCGTCAGTCTCTTTGGCCGGTTCTTCTTCGTCTCTCCCTTGCTGATGGGCGATGTGCGGGTTGGCTCAACCCGGTGTAAGTAAGTAGTAGCGCCGCTGATGCAAAGCATGCATCGAACGGACACGGGAAAAGGGATGGAGATGATGGCCGTAGGAGGAAAAGCAAGGCCAGCTAACGGCACAGGCAACGTCGCAACTGGGAAATAAATGTCTTGCTCTTGTCCAACAGGGCGAAATCAATAAATAATGGGAAAATAACAATAATAACAGCATGAGGGAAGGAAGGGTTGTACCTTATTAGCCGTCTGCTGACTATTAATTTCGGATCTTCCATCCCTCCCATCCCCAGAAGTTCTTAACCACCGTGCACTTCCGGATTGATATTATTTATTGAAAAGGGACCCATCATTCAATGTCGTATTCGGCCCAGAGAGTCGGTCAGGGGCCAGGGCCAGCTCTGGCTGCTGAGGGTGGCTTGCTTGTACTTCGTACTTGTAGTAGTGTTTGCTTGTAGATATTGTGGTCGACGTTGTAGATGTCACAGGCCTTCGGGTGAGACTCGCGACGAGCTTGCAGCCAGCCCGACGAGCCATTGAGCCAGGACAGCCGCCGCAGGGAAGCCAGAGGCCGCCGCCAGAGACGTCCAGCAGCAGCAGCGGCCAGCAGAAGAGATACGAAGCCGCCGTCTGGAGGCCTCGAAGGGGACGAGCAGGAGGAAAAAGCACACTTGGCGGGCCAGGAAACCTTCCGCAAGGCCGGTCTCTTTGCCTCCCCTTCTTCCCACTTCTCTCTCCCTCCGTCTCTCTCTCTCTCTCTCTATCTCTCTATCTCTCTCCTGACCGTCTGACTGTCCCTTTTGAATCTTCTGTCTGCGTCTTCCAGCTCGCTGCTCGTCGTTTGCTCGTCGTTTTTTGTCCTCGCCGGACCCTCGTTCAAGTCGCTCGTTGGCTC